CCTGCTAGGGTATCAGTACTATTGATCAGTTTTATTGCAGCAGTACCTAAAGGTCTTAATTTGGGTCTGATCTGCATTTTGAAGATGCTGTAAACATGCAACAAAAAGACAGCTCAGCTTCTGACAGCTGACAGGGAAATATTTAGTGAGCAAGAGCACGTAGATTGAAGTGGGTACACAGGGCTATAGATAACAACTACCTTTCTTTCGGCATTTCTAGGTTTGCTGGATGCCTGAGTTGGCGCTAGACCGTGCAGGTTTTGGGAACACCTGTCAGACCATAACCAAAAAAAATGAGAAGTCCTTGTTGGTTTCTTGGATCCTTATGATGCTCTTCAAGGAGCACTGTCAGACCCAGGATGAAGCACAGGGCTCTGTCCAACACATCTGGCAGATTAAGCTCTTCTTTTGATATGCCTGGGAAGTATTAGTTCAGTCAAAACTGAAACTCTTCTTGTCAATACTAGTCACTCAGAAAAGCAACATAAGTGTGTATCTGCGTGTTAGTCAACACAGCGCTTCCCCACACAGGTGTTTAAAGGTGAGGATGCCCATCTCCCTCTCTTTTCTCTTTGCCTTCATCAAGATGTTTGAAGTCTGAACCATTGCCTCATAGTGAATAAAAGACAGCCTCTTCCTCTGTGAGCTGCAGTGTATTTTGAAATAGTTTGCCAGTTTCCTTAGTAGTGGTAAAAATGTAACCACTATTTTATTTTTTTTCAGTGACAGAATAGTAACAGGTCTGGGGTCTGGCATCTGGTGTCTAGTGTCCTAGACCATCCTTACATCTACCTTTGCACTTTACAACCTGCAGTTAACAAAACAACTTTATTTACTAAACAGGATGCAGAAAATCTAAACAATCAAGCAGGAAGCTCTAAAACATAATGAAAATCCTCTTGTGTTGTTTAAGTCTGGTTATGCTCGGTGCTTTTAGCTGGGGTATGTTGTATAAATGATCTCTTTGTTTTTCTGGAAGGCAAAGTGAAAGAGAAGGTAAAAGTATAGTGCAAGGACAGTATAATACTAAGACTGCAGTTCGTTCAATTGACCATTGTATTGCTTAGTATCTCAGCAAATAAGGTCAAGTATGGACTGATAATGAAGAATGTTGTTGCTTGATAACTTAAAGCACAAAAATAACATTGGTAATTCGTTATTAATATTTTGTCTTCCTTTGTTTGAAATTCATTTTTAAAAGCTTGAAATAGAATTCTCTGATTGAAACAGGTTTGTGCAGCTTGTTGGAGTAGGACAGAAGACTTGAACTATTGATGGGCCAACATCAGCTATGGTATTAATTACAATGTCTCAAGCAGCTCATTGAATTTGATCATAAAGGTGTTAAGTGATAAGTGATGAGGAAGTCTGCTTGTCCTATTTGTACTTGATGCATGTCAGTTTCTAAGTTTTCTGTTGATCTGAATGACAGCACACAACTGATGTCCTGTCTATAAGGACTGAAGCAGTTTAGGAGCTTAAGTTACAATAAATGTTTAGAGGTATGTTTCTCACAAGTGTTGAAAATGTGATCTGACATATTAAAAAAAAAAAGTACGATACACTTGCTTTCTGTATGCAAGTATATTAGCCCTGAAAAATGCTTTAACTTAATATTTCTTGTACATACCCCCCTACAGTATGCTTTGAAATGTTGTGAAAAAAAATAAGGAACAACAACTGTGTACATATAGTAAGAATACACAAAGGACCTGTACCTTTTTAGGTAGACTTCTAGATCAGAGTTGAAGAACTGCCAAGGGACTTCTGCAGGAAGAAGGGTGTTGTTGCAACAGTGTGCAAATGGCTCAACTTGTTGAAACAAGCTAAAATACAATCATTTATTCCTAGATAATTGCATCAAATCAAGTTCAAGGTAAATGCAATTTTGCCTTTGCAGTGAGATAGTATAATGTAGCTAATATAGAATAGGAAAACAGACTTCAGCAGTAAAATTAGTTCCTAAAATAGCTTCAGAGGAATCAGAAGTAACACTGACAATATGACTGACATTATCATATGGGACTGACATATACATGAAAATGCCCTTTTCAATATATATGAAAATCACCTCTTTTAGTGTTAGTAATCACTTTTAATAATGCAATTATTACATGCTATAGTTCCTAATGAGTTAGCTTGAGTGTTATAAAAGCATTTATCTAAGATTCTTTTTGTAAGTCTTGGGAGAGATTCAGTAAAATGGCACACCTGGTTAGGACTCCAGCATTTTCATGCAATACCATGGGCTGTAGTGTGCTCTCACTTATGCCAAGAAACTCCAATAGCTACAAAATACAGCTGTAGTGTCCCTAAAGTTAAGCTTTGTGATCAGAATACATCGACTAGACTTAGCATTCAATTTTCCTCTGTGGTTGATGTCTTTAAAAGTCTTTTCCTATTTTTTTTTTTTTTTTTTGTGACTAACATATTTCTTGAATTAAAATGTGACAATTGTCTGGGAAAAAATGCTCACAAATTTTCATGAAAATAAGTGAACCTTGTGCAAAACTGCTCAAGCTAACGCAAAAATCTTCACAGAGGTCAAGATCATGAGGTGCATCTATACCATCGAATTTATCACACCAATTTCACTGTCTAAAGAGAAAAGCAAAGGAATGAGGCATGCGAAGACCAATAGTCAAGAGAGAGGGCTGTGTGGAGCCCTCATGTGGGAATGGTGCCTGGGGAGCAAAACTTTCTCAGCTCTCTGGATAAAATTAGTTCCAGCCAACACTGTGATCCAAAAGGCACGCAAGAAGAAGAGAAAGCTGTGTCTGAATCTTCCTAAAAGAACCGGCCTAACTGTCAGCTTATCTGTCTATGTACCTTTTTCAGTCCATGTCCTCTTACACACAGCTTGAGGAGGACATTGATGTTAAAGTATAGGATAACAGCTGTATAATGTAAGGAACTGTACAAAACTCTGAAAGGCAGTGGTGACACGGGTTATATTTACCCTATGTCTGTACCAAGCACTGAGCATGATCTTGCCGAGTGCCTCCATGAGGGGTCATACCTGCAGTAGGACTACTAGGCAGCCTAGTACCAACACTGAAAAACAAACAAACAAACAAACAAACCCAAACCAAAAAATGTTTAAGTACTCAGAATTTAAAGGGAGGGTAGTGAAAACTGGTTATTGTTTCATTTCTACCTCAGCCCCCTCCAGACACACAAAGATGGCAGAGTGCATGTGGGGGGTTCTATTAAGGAGATAATAATGGATGTGGGGTGTGAAAGAAATGCCGCCTGATGCTGCTTTGTGCTTGCTGTAATCACCCTCCTTTCCTGCATGGCTGCTTTGTGCAACCCCGCTTTTGGGCTTGGTTCACCTCCTCCTCAGCCTTGCTGTGGCCAGGGTGGCCACAGGAGCTGCAGAGCGTCGCATGTGGGGCAGCCAAGGGAGGCGGGGGTCAGCAGCCCCCGTGGCTGATGCTGGCTGACGGTGCAGCAGGCATTTTCCCACATGGTTCCTGGGCATCAGCGCCGTGGGCTTCAGTGCCTGTCCTCTGTCATCCATCCCGTCACTGCTAGGGGGACACCTTGGCTCTACCGGCACCGGTGCAGCCAGCCGTGCGGAGAGCCTGGCTCGGGCAGGACCGTCACTCTCCCACTGCAATGGCTGCAAAACGTCACCCACCGTAGACAAATTCCCATGAGGAGGATCATCCCATGGGTGTTTCCCTAAAGCATGTATTTCTGGGACAGATGCAGATCCTGACTGACCACAGGTCAAAGAAGAAATTGTCAACTCTTCCTGTGCTCAGCCTCTGAAATGAGAGGCCAGTGATTTCCATGGATAGAGAGGAAATCTGTTTTGTTTTCTTTTCTTTTTTCTAATTATCCATTTTTACTATAGGGATATGTTCAGTAAGGTCAGTGGTTCAGCACAGGGATAAGGGTGGATAATTTCTTGATTTATTTCTGTGTGCTCACTGTGGGGTCTGCGGCTTGCCAGAGACCCCAGGACAATGCAGAAACATAATTTTCCACATGTTGGTTTTCAAGTAAAGGACAAGACCGTTGGGTTCATGTGGGGTAGATTGAGGCATACAGAAGGTCACTTCAGTGTAGGATTATTAAACTTGTCCTAATCTACTAATTTGAACAACAGTTTGATCTACATGTCCATAAAAGGTTTCTTGATTGTGTATGTGTGCGTGCCTGACACAAATAAAAGATGTACTGAAGAACTGAAGATATTGAAAAGAAATACCATAGAATATTTTTACACAGAACAGCTGCATGTCTGGTCTTTTTAGCTTTATGCTAATTTCTGACAAGTAGATTAAAATTTCTCAGTGCAAGATTCTTGTTCTTTCAGCTATTCTGTAAAACTTGTCTTTTAAGCCCAGGCACCAACCCACTGCCCTCTTTCCTCCTCTGTGCCCATACATCTGCATCAGACAGATTATATTCATTCAGCAAGGCAACTAAAGTCACTGCCCTTCAAACTTGCTCTATGTATTATATTCTCCTACTTAACTCTCATTTTAAATAAAACTTTGTTCTTCATCTACTCAGAGAGCAGGAAAGGGACAATTTGGCTGCAAAAGGACATGCTCTGGGATCAAATGGGGGGGCTTGTGGAATGGGTACAGCTCCACATCTGAGTTTCGATTCACCTTCATCCTCCATCGTTTGGGGTTTTCTGGGTCTAGCAGTAATCCGGGCAGCTCGTTTTGACAGGTTTAGTGTTTCATACGGTAATTGGAATCTCACTGCTTTAATGTCTTCATTCAAACAGTTTCTCTGATCATGACACTGAAAGGGAAGTCTTGTGCTATACATAGTTTTATGTGAAAAAAAAAGGAGGTTTATGTGATTATGGTAATAGTTCATAAAATACAGCAGACAAAGAATAATTTAGAATTCATTTATTCATAGCAGCAGAAGTTAATATTCTTCTTGCCTACAAAAGAGTTTCAGACATTAATCTTTTCTCCTGGATTTCTGCTATTCTGCAGAACTAGTTTGGTTTTCTTCAGTATTACAGATGCCCTGACTTGTTTTTTTTGCCTTTTTTAGGCTCTTCAAAATACTGTTTTTCCTTAAATAAATAATGCTGATTCCATGAAGATGGTATCAAAGCTGTCTTCCAACTTTCCTGCAGATTTATGTAAGTGTTTGAACAGAACACACTGAATTCTGCTCTCTGTTTCGCAGCTAAGCATTTTACTGATACAGAATAAATCACTTCCCTACAGGTGAAGATTTAAGATTTAAGCAATTTAGCACGTCCTTGCATAATCTGAGAATTTCTCGTTAATGGTGCATTTGCTTTGGGAACAGGGGAATAGTGCGTGTGCATGTCTGTTTACATATGTTACTTTATATTATTTCAGTAGGATACTACTTTTTCCTTCCCTCCCCCCCCCTTTTTTTTTTAACCCTGATGATCCTCCTCTATTTCTTCACCATCTATTTTATCTAAGATGCTTCAAACCTCCCTAAATATGATTTTAAACTGAGCTCATAAAAGGCTGGCAACAGTTTCAAATACTTAACTAGTTACTTGGGACCAAACTGTGTACTCCCTTGGCCTGAATTTGTCAAAAGCCAGGCCTTATAGCTGAAAGCAGAAAAAAATTTGGCATGTAGCCATGAGAGAATTGAAGAGTGGAGACTATAGGCACAGTAATTCAGATTAATCTCTGTGTTAACTTCACTGAAGCAATACATCTGGAACGTATTAAAACAATTCTGGTGTGTGATCTGTCAGTTACGTGCTATAATTCTAGAGGTGGCTCTTTAAAACCCTGTCCTCAGGTTAAATGAATTTAGCGACAACAAAGTGACAGATCGCAGGAGATGCTTTTTCTTATAGGCGTCTGTGGGGGTAATCTGCAGCTTTTGGTGTTAGGCACAATGCCCTTTCATGATTTTATTGGGAACTGAATATACAGGAAAAATTGCTGTTAATAAAATTTGTGGATGACAACAGGAACAGAGAACTGCTAGAGAAATATGAGTAGAGATAAGGCAGGAAATTTCAGAACAGCCATCTGGACATTTGCCTTTTTCTTGGCTAATAAGAATCCCTGAACACACATACCTCTGCGTGTGTGTGTGTGTGTGTGTGCTCACACAAGGATGGAAATAACATACTTCTCTTTTTTGTTAAATGTTGGTGACCTCTGGCAAGCTTCTTGCAGGCTCATTCCGCCTGGGAGGTGCATAGCAGGAGAGGTGGCTTTGTCCTTTGAGAGCACCCATTCAGGCCATCCAGATTCACAGGTGTGTGCTCCACCTGCCCTGGAAATCTCTGCAGTTTTGGAAACTTGGCTGGTTTGAGCTGGTTTTATTTACAGATCTGCTGAGTTTATGGCAGGGGAGCATTACCCTGAGAGCTTTAAGGGAAGTGACCTTTTCATTTATTCATTGTCACATGCAGACTGTGAGAAGTGGAAACAAATAAACTGTTGGCATCACAGAACTGATCTGAAGTGTTTTTGAGTTACAGGCCAAAACGAAAAAAGAGGTGAACTCCTGACTTTGAAATTTGTGGGCACTTGGCTGCTCACTCTAAGAGAGTATCGCCTCCCTTCTGGGTCCTTCAGATTCACCTAATCACCTAAAGTTAGGTATACATTTTTCAATTTAAAAAGAAAAGTCATATGCTATAACTAAAAGGAGAAAAAAAGTTCAGTTCCAAAAATACACTTTGCCACAGAAAAGAGACAGCTTTCCAGAATATAAGAAAAACCCCAACCAACAATATGCAATCTGCCCTGCACATCATCATTACTGTGATGACATCTAGTGTCTCATTTCTTCCCTGCTTTCCTTGCACAGGCAGGGAGGATGGCATTTCTGCTGGGAAAGCCCCAAACAAGGCCGCCTGCAGCAAGGAAAGAGGAAACAGTTCACTGGGGTGATCAGCACTTGTCTAAAAGGCAGGAACAGCACGGCTGAGCACCGTCTGAGGTTTACATGGGCATTCCTGGTTCACCAGCAGCAGAGGTGGCTCTGCAGAGCCAGTGTGTTGCGGGGCTGTGCCAGGGCTGTGCTGCTGCTATTGCACCTTCGAGGCAGGGTGTGAGGTGCTCCCCAGCAGCACTGGGGATTGGAACATGGTGCTTTTTTTTTCCATTTCACCCTTACCTGGACTGCTGCCAGCCCCAGAAGCCTCTCAAGGCTGGGAGCTGACCAGAGCCCGCTGCACAAGGACTGCCAAGGGGAAAATGGGTTTCTCTGGGTAGCAGTGGAATTGGTGAATAATTATGGTCAGCCCAACAGGAAGGCTGAAGGCCATGCAGATGCGGGAGCAGTGACCACGCAGCAGTATCTGCAAGGAATGGGTAAAGCTTGGCCAAACTCACCCCGCTGCTGTGGGCTTGCTGCGACCAACAACAAGACTGGACAGTACATGTCTGTTAATTAGTAGTGAGAATAAAATATTTCTGAAACAAGGCATATTTATACCTGGTTGCACATTGCTAAGCACAGCTTAAAGAAAATAAATAAATCAACCAGCAAAGGCATATTAATATGATCTTACATGGACCACAGAGATGAAATGCCTTTTTTAAGAGTTCACTATCACAGTGCCCCTACAAACACAATATGACTGCCAGAGTGCAAACTGAGCCTTACTGCTGATCTGAATGTCCCAGACTCAATTTCCAGCTCCTTTAGGTTTGCTAGCTTATGAGTGAAAAACTGTGTTTCTCAAATTCTTTTCATGGGTGACGTGTTTTGTCTCTCCCCCTTCCCACCCCACCCCATCTTTTGGGGTTACTGATTTCCTGGTGACCCCAAAAAGTGTGAGGGCATATCCCCTAGCCAGGGCATGAGCATGCTGGCAGCAGATCAGCTCCTTGAAGAAGGAGGAGCAAGGACTGGATGCATTTACTGGTTATAGGGATAAATGCCCCTTCCCTTTGGAGTACATGTCCCAGTATGGATGACATTTCCCATGTATGATGCTTATGTTAGGTGAAGAGGGTGCGGTATTTATTTTTTTGTCCCACAGTGGGCTAAAGGTCCAGTAACCACCACCCCAGGGGGTTTGGACCACCACATCTCTGGTGGCATAGTGTTGTCTCCCCTCTTCTCCACCCCCACCCCCTACCTTCCCCCACCCCCTCTATGGTGGGCGTTCCAAGGAGTGTGACATACATGGGTGCCAAGGTGACAATCTGCTGGTGTGGCACGAGGTCTGGCTTTGAGCACTCATTACCTTCAGGACCAGCAGGGAGAGTGCCAGCACCATTGGCATCTCCATCGCCACTGGCTCATGCAGGTGAGCTGGGTCCACACCTGCCAGGGAGGGAAGGAAGGATCCTGAGAAGCCCCCAGCAAGGCCATCCGGGGCCCCCTGCTACCCCTTTCATGCTCTCAGCACACAGCCTCCCTGGTACAAGAGTGGCTGATTTTTGGTCTAGAGAGTTTCAGACCCACACAAGATTTATGTTAAGTGGCAGCCTGCAAGCAACCTTGAGACCCAGAGCCCCCAGCCGAAGCACAAGGCTGTAGGAGAGCCTGGGTATTTCAAAAGGGTTCGAGGGTGTCTCACAAGCAGCAGAAATCAGCTGCTGAAGTCATGCTGGACTGATTTAAAATATGAGTGATGGCTTTTATGGTCTCAGAGATCCCTGATACCTGGCCACAGTCGTCTAAGTTGATCAGTAATGGAAAGTTTACTGAGGTGAGGAGGAGGACAAACTAATTCTGGGAGCAGTTCAAGGAATGAAGTGTGATGGGGAAAGACGGGGATAACTCCTTGGTCACTACTTGCAAGAAGGTCTGTGAGATTTAGGCACTTATTTGGGGCCTGGAAGACAAATCTGGACTCTTTATCATCAAATATCAGGCAAAGCATAAATTAGCTTATGAATGCAGGCATTTGTTATTGAGGCAAATTAACTGAAACTTGTACTTCAAAAAGGTTCTAAAGCTTTGGGTGCCTCATTCCTTCACAGGCAACAGTCATTAATTCACACCAGAGCCCCATCTTCACCCCTCCTTTGCCTTGCCTGATGTCCCAACCTGCCCCAGCCCTGATCCTGCCTGGATACAGGGTGTTCTGTATCAATGCCTGTGTGGTTGTCATGGTTGCCCCATAGTGGAGATACTTGTGGGTGGCACCCCTTGCTCTGCTGGAGACAAGGTGTGTGGGACAGCTGCAGACGGTCCTCAGCTCCTTCCCTACTTACGTCTTTTCTCCACAGCACCAAGATGTCGGAGGTAGAAAACGCTTTCCGTAAATTTGCAGTATACGGTGACACATCCGCCAGTGGCAACGACATGACAGGGAAAAACTTCTCCAAGATGTGCAAAGAGTGCAGAGTGATGGATGGGAAAGCTGTGACCAGCACTGATGTTGACATTGTATTCAACAAAGTCAAGTGAGTGTCGCAGGGAGGCATGGTGGGCAGCACAGCTCAGCAGGAGGAGGGAACGGCTGGAGGCAGGCAGGCTCTCACAGGAGGGGCAGCCTTGGGGGTTTCCTATCCCACTGACATTCAGCAGTCAGGTAACTTTCCTCTTGGTCTCCCCTCGCCATAGGACCAAGGGTGCCCGCACCATCACCTTTGCCGAGTTCCAGCAGGCCATGAAGGAGCTCTGCATCAAACGCTTCAAGGGCAAATCGCCGGAGGAAGCGCTGCAAGCTGTGTATGGCCTCATTGAAGGGAAGGAGCCCGGCAGTGTGGGTGCCACGGTATGTACGAGTTTCCTCACCTGCTGTGCACCTTGAGCTGCCACAGGGCCATTCGTCCCTGCTGCAGGGACATTTGATGTCCTTGCATGTAGGGAAGAGCTTGTTTGCGAGATGTTTCCTAATGCTGTCTGCCTCTTGCTGGCCTTCTTTCTTGCAGAAAGCCACCAAGGTTGGTGGGGTTGACAGGCTGACGGACACTAGCAAATACACCGGCAGCCACAAAGAGCGTTTTGATGAGAGTGGCAAAGGGAAGGGTCTTTCTGGCCGCCAGGATCTGACAGACAACAGCGGCTATGTTGGAGCCTACAAGGGAGCTGGCACATATGACCAGACACACTAGAACTGAAACTGCCTAAGGAAACAAGGACTTTTCTCTTATAACATGAGAGGATAGGCAAATAAACATCTCATGCAAACATCCAGCCTTCTGTGTCTGTGTACCTGAAATCTGACAGGGTGGGAATGCATGGGGTGGGCACTGGATGACTTGGAAGAGTGATGCAGATTCCTCATCTGACAGTATTTTGATTGCTGTGTGGTGGAACTAAGTACAAACCCAAGCTAGCCTTCTGGAGGAAATTCTACAGGCCATCTACTTTACTGACATCACACTGCTTTGCATTTCCAATCAAGTGAACAGCAGGTTAGTCTCTGAATATTCAATCATATTTTTATTCTCCCCTCCCAACAAACTATACTTTTTGCTGTGAGTTTTGTCTTGGGGACCAGCATGTACATGTTTTTATATTGCCACGCTGGGTTACATTTGAATTAGTGATTTCTGGTGTCAAATAGCCCCTCAGTGGTGCCTGACCACACCTTGAAGAGCACTCTTACAGGGCATAGGATGCAACGTGTACCACACCATGGAGAGAAAAGGGGTATAAATGACACCAGTTTCTGCTTTTTGATTTCCCCTTTACTGCAGGTTAAAACTTCTCACCCATTCCTAACAACTGGTATGGTCACTCATTATTATTTCCCCAGGCTTCAGGATGCTGACGGTTGGGCAAGAGTTTGTGAGCCTGAAGAAAGCAAATAAGGAGCTGTGGTGCAGGGGATCAGGAAGGAGGGAAGGCCTGTGTGGAGCATAGCAGGCCCTCTGTACTCAGGAGGATGGTTTGCAAGATCTGCCTGCTCCCAAATCCTTTCCCCAACTGCTCTCTCTTTCCCCCTCTGCCTCCCAGCCCCACCACTGCTGTTGCTTACAAGATCTCTACTGCTGACAAGACCTAAAATCACGTCCACTTGTTATTTTCCCCAGCATTTTGACAGGCTGGTAGGACTAGCATGTCCCTTGTCCCTGCAGCTGGATCTGTCTGTGTGGCTAGTTTCGGGGTGCCCTGTGCGAGCACCCATCAGGACACACTGCTGGGCAGCAGAGGGCTGTGGGGGGCTCCTTGGGTGTGTGACCGGCTCTCAGCCCACTGGGGTTGCCTTCTCTGCTGAGCTCTTTCAGTCTCCTAGATTTAGCATGACTGAGCTTTTAGGGATAACTGAAACAGCACTTTTGGGACAGTTTCCCCTGACATTGTAGAGAATTACTTACCTGTGCTATTCCAGTCCTATAAGCCCTCATCATAGGCCATGAAGTGGGTGCTTAAGGCACAACACTTGCTCAGAGCACATTTCTCTGCCCCATAGCACTCAGGAACATCCTCCTTGCTGCCTTAACCCCAGATAACACTGCAGTTGTGTGGATCTACGAATTAACAAATGCTCACTCACTCACTCTCATGCTGTCCTTATGTACCAATGACCTTTTAAAGCTACTTTAAAAAGGCTCCATTGTGCCCCTAGGTGACGCATGTGTGTAAAGTGGTTTGGTGATTCTGGGATATGTGGCAGAAAGTCCTACAGAAAAAGTGAGCAGGTTCATTGGGCATAATCGGCAGGGCTTTAGTAGCTGGGCACTGCAGGGGTGACCTGGGAGGAGGATGTCTCTGACCACCCTGCACTGGTCCACAGCCTGAGCAGGCCTGGAGCAAAGAGATGATACCAGCAAGTGTTGGGGCAAAGAAACCCTCTGAGCAGGGACAGGCACACAGAAGACGCTGGAGGAGGTATGACTCTAGAGGGGCTGTGGCTGGTGGAGATGGCCACACCAGAGGACTGCAGTGAGAAAAAAGGACCAGTGAAAGAAGAGAAACCACAGCAGCTGACCCCAATCTCCTGTGCCATCCATGGCTGCCTCGAAGTGACTGAGGGGATGGGAAACCAGGAAAGGAGCAGGAGAGATGTCTGGGTGGAAGTGTTTGTTTAATTTCTTGTCTTTATTTCTCAGTAACAGAACTGATAATTTAAAGATTATATTAGTTGGCAATAAACTGTGAAATTCAGACTCAAGACTGCTTGTTTGATGAAGATAGCAGGAATGGGATATAGTAAAATGGAAAGAACAGCACTGGAACATATATATATAAAAAAAAAAATAGGCCTTTTGCTTGCTTTTAAATTTTGTGTGTAACCCAGATCTTTAAAATACATACTCAAAGCATCTGTTGTCAATAATACTGTCTTGGTACATCATCATCTGTACAACAGTCCTAAGCAAAGTATCTGTAAATTAGGAGCTATCAGGATGTTGTACAAAAAATAAAAGCTAATATGCCCAATAAATCAATGACAGAACATTCTCTGCCTTTGGTGGCATAGCATTCCTTATTTAAGTACTGTCAGAAAGCAATTGCAACAAATGCTGGTATTTCAGAGGTCTTGAGATACTACTGCAAAAATATGGCTATGAGTCTGCAGGACTGTATGACAGTGTCCCCGACCTGGACACAGCTCTCTAACTGTTTTCTGTGCTTTGGTGTGTAAGTCATAGTCCCCTGGTCTTCCCAGGATGAAGAACTGATTGATTTCTCCCCCCATAACATAGCACTACATGGAGGGCATAGCTAGTGTGTGTTACAGAGTAATCAGAGATATGGGTTTGAGGTTGCCACAGTATTTTCCACACTCCTTTACCCCCGAACGCTTATTAAGGCATGATGGGTAGTAATCAGCAGGGCCCTGCTGGTGCTTGGTGGTCAAGAAGAAAGGCATACTGGCTTCATGGGCCCAGCAGCATACTACCATAAAATAATGCAGTTTTCAGGCAAAAGGTATAGGTACTGGCAGCCTCACAGCTCTATCGGTGTCCAGGTTTGGTGTGGCATCTGATGTCTCCATTCTTTCTAGATGCTTTTCAAACACCTTGAGACCTTCACATTTTGGGGGAAAGGAAGACAAAGATTGCCCTCAATAACTGAGCAAACCTTGAGTGTATTTCTTTGTTCAGGCCTCAGCTTCCTTGTAATTAAATGACTCAAGAAATTGCCCACATACAGTTCTGCAAACAAACGGAAGAATGTGTTGTATCATTAGTTTCTTATGTGTGTGTATATATATATATATATAGCTGGCATGGAAAAAGCTGTGGGAGCTTTGGGAACAAACTGAGAGCTTTGTACTTGTGCAGTGTGAATTCTGGTTTGCATTAACTCAGGTACAATGTGACACTGGAGGGTGAATTTCTGAGATGTGATTAGATCTTTATGTCATCCTGTAATCTAACTTGTGTAGTATTCCAGCACCAAGAATCACTAATTGTCCTGCCTATTCCTGACAAGTAGAAACCACAAAAAGATGAGAAATGCCATGCTCAATCCCCATGGCAGCTACAGAGTGGACAGATAAAATGAAAGCCATGGTTGACCAAAGATTTTAAAAATACTAACCGATTACTGCATGCCCCTGGGGAAGCAGTAATACCAGTGGATATAAGATTTTAAAATAGCCAGAGACATGTATGTATCAATGACGGAGTCAACAAGACATGAAAATTTTAAAAAAAGGTTTATGCTCTAGTGCTTGGGAGGCTGCAAAAATTGAGGCAGCCCTTCAGTGCAAGGTGTTTGTAGAGTGTCCTATTACACCACTGCCATCTAATACTAAATATCTGTACCATTTTGTATTTGCTCTCTTAAGGAGAATGTATTATCTAGAAAACCAGTCATGATGGGAGGAAGAGGTTAGGAGCCTTCCTCTTGGTGGTGTCTGAGGTTTATTGTGCACCACTGCTTTGTGCTGTGCTTTGACCAACGGAGGGAGCGTGAGGGCTTTGGAAGAGGGATGGCTGCTCCTGCTCCTGTTGTAATTTAAGCACGTTTCCACAGTAGTCCGAAGAATGAGGCCCATGGAAGCTTCTAGAAGAGAAATGTAGCTGCATACACATAAATGGCGCAGTTTGGGGAATTTACTGGCAACAGTGGAAGTCCTGCTGAAACAAAACGACATTGATAATCTGTGTGTTTATACCCAACTGTGGCTAAGATGTGTCATTACTGTGGAAAAATAGGGAAGCATTGGCTCCACATTACACATCTGTTGCGGAAAGAAACATCAAACCATGCTAAATATGCAATTCCAAACTGCTCCAAAGTAGAGTGGAAAAAAATACCCTTAGCTCTTTGGCAAGCTCAAGTGAGCTTGTTTCTCTGGTGCATCACTTGATGTATCCCTATCCCCACAGCCATTCCCTTCTATCTGTCCCCGCAGACATTCTCTTTCATCCAGTTTCCTTGCTAACTTCTAGAAATACGGCTCAAGACCAGCACTAGCAATTCTTTGCCAACTGGTCATTGCTTCAGGGTACATGAGGTGGGATCCGATATACCAGTCAGATAGACATCATTTGACAGCATTGATGAAATCTGCACACGGATTAGAACAATATCTGAAGATTCAGCTATGGGGACTGTGTAGTAGGAACTGAGGCAGTAGGACAGGGCATTGTTGAACACAGGTAGGAAAGAATGACAAACTACACATGTGTGTGCATGTGTGTGTGTAATGTTTTTAAAGCAGTCTTCAAACTGTGCAAGAGAGAGCTATAAAAGGTCTTTGCTACCTGTTCTGTTGCTAAGGTATGCAGTTACAGTCTTAGCACTCTTGCTTGTGGCTGAAATGGGCACAATTTCATGTTAATAAAGCAGGAAGAAAGAACAGATGCTGATGTCAATGCAGCCACTGGCTGGTGGCAATGCGGCAGGACAGATGAGCATCCATGCACAGTAACGCTTGTGCTGCAGGATGGGCCAATGGCTCACGCTATTTTCTGTGCTAATGAACCTTTCTTTACAAAGTTGTTTCCATTTTTTTTTTTTGGTTGCAGGTTGTATTTCTAACACGGCAGAGACACAGGGAGCTGGGCACTCAGCTTCCCGACCCAGTGCTACACACAGGGTGTGCCAGGCAGGCTCCTCCATGAGCACTTTGTTGCAGTTAAGCATGGCCTAGACCTAACAGGCTCTCACCCTCGCAGTTTAAGGCATTTGAGATGGTAGGCAGATGTGGGGAGTTACAGATTTGTGCATGTTTATACCGGACTGGTCATCCAGGTGCTATTTACATTTTAAGTTATGAATTTTAATGGCAGCAGTGTAATGGTCCTCCCCAGCTGCCTCGTTTCCTCTGCTTCTCTGGTTATCAAGAAATGCGCACATCTCCACTGCCTTGGGGAAGCAGTGGTTATACTCGGTGCAGAACTAATTATATGCCAAGGAACCCAGTGGTTACTCACCTCAATTAACACATATATGACAGAAATGAAAAAAAAAAATACCCATTTGGAGATTGATGCACAGTGCTAGCCTGGCTTCAGAGAGCTCTGGGTAGCTGGAGAACTGTTGTTTTCAGTCTGGGTTGCGCTACCTCACTCTGACTGTTGTTTCACAGGAATCCATGGTGTAATACAAGCCTGAAGGAAGACATGTATGCCATAGGCTTGTCTCTTTTTTCCAGCACTGCTAATCAATCTAATAGGAGACAATGTCTCTCCCTACACACTTGGTCTTTCTGATAATTGCTACATGCCCCACCCTCATTCCTCCCCTCCTTTTCCAGCTGCAGACCTTCACAGGTTACCTGGCTCAACCAAACCAAGGGTGTTTGTCTCAGCCCCCCAGCTGCCTGTAGTTACAGCAGGAGGTGTTCGGCTGTTGAGTCTTGCCCATCAACCCTACAACCGCCCCCTGCTACCACAGGGACCGCAAGCCGCCCGGGTGGGGAAAGCCAGGGCACAAATGCAGTTGCCCCACCATCTCATGTTGCACCATGGGGTGTAGCACTGGGATGTGCTGCTGGGGCATGGTGATACTGACTTGTGAAGTGGCTCTTTTCCATCTGAATCTTTGATCGCTTTAAGTCTGGTATTTTCTTCACTGTCAAGATTCTTATGGTGTATTTTTTTCCTCTCTTTTATTTTTTTTTTTTTTTTCTGCACGACTTACAAGCTTGCTGTCCTCACTAAATTTAGGACTGGTAATTACAATTGCTGTCTTAACATTACCCTGTACTATTCAATCCAGATGCCACCCTCACTCCTATGCACGTATGGGACATACTCTGTACCTTTTTGCCTGCAAACCCGCATTGCTGGTATCACTTAAAAGACAAGGGGACACAGAGTCTCAGAAGTCTTCGTTAACCATCCACAGCCTACCGTTCACAACACAAATTGTTGACGATTTGTCCCCACATGGAACTTTGTTTCACGGCAAGCAACAGATGAATAAGCTCCTCCGTAACCCCCCGATGAGGCAGCAGCCAGGGCAGAAAGAAGAATGACAGCCACACTGGGGCGAGGGCTCTGGTTGATCAGTGTTCAAGTATTGTCACCTCCCACCCGGCCGGGCCAGGCCAGTGCCTCGGCACACAGCCTGGCCACGCAGCCCCTTGCAGGTCTGCTCTTCATCAAGCCTGCAGCTCTAGCTGTGACAATTTCAGGGGTGAACATTACGGGTATTTTGCATTGCCTGATTAAAAGTCCCCTTTCTGCATAGTATTTGCAGCAGGTGAATACTGTGCCAGGGTTTTTAAGAAGTTTGGGTGGATCTTAATGGGAAAAGGTGCATGGTCCCCCCACTCCAAAAAAACTCCACGATTTTGTAGATTTGAGCCCTAGCCAAAGCTATAAGAACACTCTGTTCTTCTTCAGTGAAAAACCCACTTAATAAGTTCTCACCTGCTCCTTCTCTGAGTTACTCACACCAGCCTCCCTTCCTCCACGCTGCAGTTTGCTACCCATTAACTCTGCGGTGACAATTATTTGTGGGGCTACACTGCTGAATGGCATTTCTGATATGAGTCAATCTGAAAATAAAGACAACCAAATCCAGACAACCAAAAGACAAAGGCCCCTTCATACTGTTGATGGTGCAGTCCCACAAGTGAGAAAGTGGGACAATTAGGCCAGATTTGGTATGCAGGAAAACCACCACAGAAGTACAGTGTAAGTCAGTCAGTGACTGATCCCCCTGCCAAAGGTAAGTACCTGCTTGAAGAGCTGTCTACCTTTTGGCCTCTGTTGTTTATTATTAAGATTTCCATTCAGTCCCATCCAGTCTTTGCTATCCTGAGGACCTGAGCTCGCAGCAAAAGCTAAATTAAAGACCAGGATCTCTCTGCTGTTACTTCAGAATACCTAGAATATTTGCCTTCACCTTTAAGGGAGGTTCCATGTGATACAGTGTGACTTAAATCCCCAATAGCTGATACCTGTAATGCAGAAAGCCTTGGACAGCTGATACACTGCACTGACTCCTGACACCTCTAATCTTCCAGGTCCAGCACAGTATTGCTGAAAAGCAGTATCTTGGAAAGGCTTAGGTGTAATAACAACATGAATATTTTGGGAGATTTTCCTGCTAGTCTTGAGCAGCTCCAAAAGCAGCCCAGGATTCAGTGGGCTTATCTGTCATGTCAGGTACCTGTCACTGTCAATAGGGGAATCTCAATCTTCTGCAACAATCACAGTAATTCAGTAAATATACATGCTCTGCATAGCATCAGCATTTTTAAAAAAGCACTTCATTGTTAAAGGATTCTTGTTAAAACAACATATTTTATAAAACAGCGTCTTTAATTTGAATTTAAAAACCTAATCCATTTATGTCACAATATATTCTCATTGTAAACTTTTATTACATAATAGTGAAGTTAAAAATAATCAAGTAACACCAGAAAGTGACATTCACTCAGAAGAGAGAAGAAATATTCCACCAGTTTTGTTGCATCAGATAACACTTTTTAAGAGACAGAGATATATATGAAGAGATATGTATATTTCAGAGAAATTGAGTACTGTCACTTGCTGGCTAGTAGAGATTTGTGCAGTTTTTTAATAATTAATATCCCCATGAATTCATTGCACATGTAGAGCTAACAATTTCTCTGCAACAGGATTAAAGCAACAAAACACCTACATATAACTATGGCTAACTTCTACACAAGCTGTTCTTGTAGAAAAATGTTTCTTACAAACAAAACAAGAAATAAATCACCTTCAGTATAAGTCAAGTTTGGTCACATTTGAAACGTGGTCTATTGCGCTCAGTATCTTTCAGTAGCATGTGCTTTCTGAAGTGTCTTGCATTGAACACCCAAGATTAAACTACCAAAAATCACCACATACTTTTTGAAAAATAGACCACAAATCAGTTAAAAGAAAAAAAAAATACAGTAGCTCCTACATTTATTTATAGTAATCTCTTTTCTGGAAATTATTTCACACTTTCTCACTGTAATTGCCCACAGCTTCTTGGCTAGAGAAAAAAATATCACTGCTTCTCTAAGAATACCCTGTTCACACAATTAAACACGTATGTTCTAACCAGCCATATGCAATAAATATATCTGTCTCTAAATCTTACTCTTTATATTCTTCTAAAATCTCTATATCTAGTAGATGCAATGTATGTAGATTCCTGAGATATATGTAAATGCCAGTAAAGTAGCTGCTTGTGAGGAATAAGCAATAGAAATTTTGATATCTATAATATTTAAAATGAGATTGGACAAACAAAGCATAAGGGTGAAAATAGAATCAGAAGTTGACTACGTTATTTGTTATTACCTTTGCCATACTTGCACATTAATGGAGATGTATGGTGCATTACAAATTAGTGATAAGAAAAATAACTTTTCCTGAGATGCTCACAGGGATTAATAACAAGACAAATACTAACATTTAGGAGCAGGTAAAAGTAATCTCAATGTCCATATGCCTGTTTTAAAATATCTGAGCTAGGGGTAAAATTTAGCTTTAGAGGAGGTAAAGTGTAGTAAATTCTCACAAATGCTTTGCAACAAGGGTTTGGAAAAGATAGAAATGATTCCTGCTCAAAACATAACACAAGGATCTTTGGTATACCCAGAGAGATACATGGAAAAGATAGCTCTGGAGAAGGCTAAAACAGCACAGAGAAAGAAAAGTGCTGTTCCATCACCTTTCACTGTACCTCTGTCTTTTCCGGAATTCAGTGATGGAGTTTATGTTAAAAAACAGAATTACTGTTTTAGGTGCTGACGTGTTTTGCTCCAAGACAAGAGCAAGACCCTGAGTTCCCAGGTTTCACCACGAAAAAATATAACTCCCTGAGGGACAGCGGGGCTTCTGCATGAGATGGGGAATGAGAGAAGTTGCTCACATTTAAAGGCAATGATGATGTCAGAAATTCACATCTCCTAGTTCCCCTCTGCCTAGATTACCACTGAGAAGAATACAGTTTGATTTTAAAGGGGCTTGGGGATAAAATAAAACATTCTGTCAGTCAATGCGACTAACATATTTTCACAGTGAATTTCCTTCACAGTGAGAAATGTTTATGCTATCCTTCCTTGGGGAGGGGGAAGGCTGGAACAACTCTTAATGCATTCTAGGGCTAAGAATATTAATAACAAGAATCTAAACTCCAATCTGCATCCAAATACAAGAGAGGAAGAGGGCTGAAATGCATTAAATGGGTTTTACATTACTGAAAAATATAATGCCAATAAAGCTGTAAATAAAATTAAATGGCATCTGTTTTGACGTCCTTGCTGCTCGCTTTGTGGCCTCTCCACTTTCAACACTCTATTTTGTGGCTGGATATTGTGCAGAAGGCAAGAAAAGGCAACCCTACAGACGCAGAGATTAGCTCTGAGCTTTTCAGGGAAAAAGTGGTAGTACAAAAATCAAAATTGTTTGGCTTCAGAAACTGAACTGCTTCTCAGAGGGTGCTGGATGGAGGTAAGGAAGCTGCTGTCCTTCATGCTGTTAGTGGGAAATGTCATAATAGTAGTTACGTAATCTCAGCTCGACTGCAACAAATCCTGGTCGGTCATCAACACTGTGGAAAGACAACAAGTATCACTGTGTAAGAAGAAGAAAGCTGTAAAGGATAATGGGCCTTGTAACGCTTTGGACTCTACCTCAGTGATAACTCATTTAAAGCTGCTTACAATATTTTATGGTTACGAAAATGATGCTACAAAATGAATACCAAGTGGCAAATGTTACTACAGAGTATGCCTGTTACTTTGTGGTTGGTGAAGGTACTACAAGAAAGAAATGGTAAATCAGCTCCATTTAATTTTCTACTTCATTTACTTCAGTAATAATCTAGAGAAAATAATATCTATAGTGCCATATCTGCCTTCTACTAGGTACTAGTGTCATACAGAGGGCCTCAGCACCGAGAGGAGCCTATGTACACACTATGTGGCTGTACTGTCTTTCTTTCCTTTATATCTGAAACTCTTTGTTGATCTGGGAGAACACAATTAAAATGACAAGCCCTTACAGTAATACATTACATATTGAGATAGTCACACTGCCTGACTTGAGCCCTAATTTTTTTTTTTCTTTTTCTTTCCAATATTAAAAGTATTTGAGTACAAACAAATAAAAAGCAGCACGCTTTATGATATGCTTATTAATGTTAACAAAAAATTATCTCTTTCACTCTAGAACCGTTACAGCATTCTTTGAGTCAAGCCAAAAGGCAGAAATTATTTTATGTCTCCACATTCTTTCTAGAGTACAGGGTGCAATAAAACTAATAAAGACGCAAGGTACATAAAGTGAAGTACCACAGCTCCTTAAATGGAATCCAGAGACCTTATCTGAACACACGTATTCTCCAGATGGTAGATTGGAAGAATAAGTGACATTACAGTACACTTCGGGTGTTTCCTATAGCTAAAAGTAACTTCAATGAAATAGTTTAAAATTATAAATGATAAAACATTTAAAATAAGTTTTTGCAATATACTAAATAAAAAACAGTATCAGATAGTCTTTCTTATTATTTGTTCTCTATATTTCATAATTCTAACTTCTGAATTGTTATCGATCAGAAAAAATATTTCTGACTTATTAGGCATGACCTGAAAAGATGTGTTGCCTCTCACTAATAAGGAATCCAATGTGGGATCCAATCTGACTACATTCATAAATAAGAGAAGAGAAAAATAGGTCAAAACAATTAATTATTGAGAAATGGAATGAAATTTGGCAATATGACTTTGAAATTTCAGTACAGTCTTGGAAATTAAAATTAAAGAAAATACAGTCCAAAACACAATAAAAATACTTGCTTAATTTCAAACTTTCTTTTCAAAATACATCAGAATGACCTTTCTGTGGAATTTCTTGATTTTTATGATACCCTATTTTTTGTATATAACTGTTCCAGCAAAATCAACTGTGCAAAATCAGCTTCTTGTAGTACACTCACCAAGTCAAATAATTTTTACTTGAAAGTGCAGCTGACTCCTTAATTTGGAGGTTGTTTGTATGCTAAACACCAGCTGAAACCACTTATTTTGAATTACCCTTTCCCCCCATCCCTTTCTGGCTATTAACTAAGTAGATTAAAATACACTACTATTAAAAGAGAGAGCACCACATCACACTCACTTGTATGTCCAACACAACTTCATCAGATCATAGACTTCTGTGGGACAAACTTCAGGACGTTCCATTCGTTCTCCTCTTTCAATCATCTGTGCAACTTCACCACCTTTCATTCCCTGGAACAGGGTGACCAGAACAGTCATCTGAGTTGCAAATGATTACAGCACACATGCTAGTATAAAACAAACAGAGGCTTGGAGTTGATTTTTGGTCTATTCTTTGACTCATCTGTTGCAACAGATGGGGCGCCAAGGCCTGCTTTGGGCTGCAATAACCCTTTTTAGGTAAGAAAATGCATTGGTTCAAATTTGCTCTGAATTTTTACAGACAAAAAAATTTGCTGGATAGAACTACTCACCTTATATGGTTTTTGCCCATAAGAGAAAGCTTCCCACATTAAAACCCCAAAGCTCCAGACATCACTTTTGCTAGAAAATTTGTAGAAATTCATGCATTCTGGAGCGTACCACTTGACTGGCCATTTTCCATGACTTTGTGCCTAAAATAAGTCATAACAGAAAGGAAAAGACTAGACAGGCTAGAGACAGTGGCAAGTAGTAGACAACATCAGAATTCATACCAGCTAAGTTAACTTAGGTCTGCACACATTTGTGCTAAGTACCATAACATTTCTGATGCAGCTGACATTAGAGAGAATGGGTAGCAGCTTCTTCAAAAGTATCACAAAATTGTTCCTACTCTTCCACTTTCAAAATAATGCACTGAAATTAAGTCTATGTTAAAGCAAGGCTTCACTAAATGACCTGGAGCCATGGTTTTAGCAGCATTTAATTTAAAGTAGCTCTTTAAAAGTAAGATTTTTCATCTAGACTCTCCACAGAGGGTAAGAGATACACAACCAGCTACACTGAGTCTCATTATTACTTGAAGCTGATGCTCCATTTCAAAGAACAGCGACCACCTTGTGGCAAACTGCAGTTTGACTAAATTATGCTGTAACACTGTGCTATAACAATGCAAGTGTCAAGCTATCCCAGCACAGTGCTAGATCTAGTGAAAGAACCCCACTGCATTTTGTGGAGTTGTAAAGGAAATGGGCCTTTTATATCAATTCTCAAACCTCTGACAAGCAGCTCTGGCTAGGCTAGTGGCAGTGATTTAAGATGTTACTGCCTTTTCTGGCAGCAGTGACTATTCCCATAGGAAGGTCATCAGAAGGGAGTATGTGCTTGCTCTGCAGCGTTTCATGGTCTGGCTTATTAGTTTTAAACAGCTGATGAAAGGGAATAGGCAGAAGGAAGAAATAATTTGAACTGCAAAAGCAATGTATCAGAAAAAAAGACACAGACACAATTAAAAGCCTTGTCTCCTGTGGATCTTTTTATCTTATTAAATATGACAGTTATTTCAGTCCCTTTAGCTGCACAGAGGTCCAATGAATTTAAAACAAAGTGACACCAATTCTGCTTAGATCAAATTATTATATACCAATGGTATTCCTTCAAAAACCTCCCCAAATTCAGTTCTGTTAGTCAATAATATAGTGTACTAGCCTAAATTTTCCTTGGACATGGTGAATACTGTAAGTGCCAAAAAGTTCTTATCTGCAATAAAGACGTTTCCCACCTTTTATGTAAGGAGATATTTAATTTCCACCACAAATTTCAATCTTCTAATGACAAGTTTACCAGAAGTAAATGGAAGAAGTAAAAGGAGGGACTAGCTTTCTCCTCCCTACATCTCTTAATGCTGATCACGCATTTTGAAAATGAGTGACCTGATGTTGGGCTATAAAATAATGGATGATACAGATTCTTTCAAATTTTACGCTTTTAAAAACAACTGCACTTCGACTGAAAATAACCTTGTTGAGCCATGCTACTTCACAGCTTTCTCGTCTTGTGCAAACCTTACCTTATAATAATTTTCATCAGCACTAAGAGCTTTAGAAAGTCCAAAGTCACTAATTTTGGCATAATGTTGGGTGACTAATAGCACGTTCCTTGCAGCCAGATCCCTATGAACAAAGTTATTCTCCTCCAGGTATTTCATCCCCATGGAAACCTGATGTACCAGCTCTGTTATATTCTTCTCCGTGACATGTCTGAAAATCATAATTGCATTTTTAAGAGGTCAGGAGTTCATTTTCATGACATTTCATGGAGTTCAAATATAAATCTTTACTATGCACTTCCCCACATCATACTAGAAACCGGATCCACTTACATTTAGCAAAGCTTTAATTAGGACAGCATAAGAATGTCCTGAGCAAGACGATGCGTGATCGTATCAATAAATGAGCAGCTGAAAGGCATGTGAAAATTATTTAATTTATTCAAAACACATTATTTTACCAGAAATCCTTGACAGTTAGGAGGCATGTACAATACAATCATGTCCCAATGAAGAGTAACTACAATCATTAATTACTGAAGTAACAACATGTCAATTTAAAATTGCCTTTAAATTAAAAAAAAAAAAAAAAGACCCGTATCTTTTTTCTGCTTTGCATAAATCCTATGAAATGGAATCAAAGCTTACATACCTATTTTTTTGCAAAAATTTATTCAGTGGTCCAAGTTCAGCCATTTCCATTACTAACATCCAGGCCTCAGCTTCACATATGCCTATCATCCGGACAATATATGGGTTATCCAGTTGCTGCATTACATTTGCTTCTCTCAGTAATTCATCCTTTATGGCTGGATCATTACTCTCATTCTTAAGAATTTTTACAGCCACTGGCTTGGCACCCCTACAAAAAAGAATCCAAGTCTGGGATTAGTTGTTGAAAAATTTGTGTGCAAATGCACACAGTCTTCATCTGATCTTTCTGTGCATGTAGTACAAACTGTGACAGAAGACAGAACTGACATTCAGAGGGGGAAAAACCCAACTGTAACATGAGCAGCTCTCTATCAAGTGCTCAGAAGACAGCTAAGGAAAAGAATCTGAGAAAATTATAAATAGTCATAAAAACATCTTAGGTCTGAAAACAAATGTACTGGGCAAAGTTTTCTTGCCCATTCTGGCAAGAATGCCATAAAGGCCTTTCTAAGCACTGAAGTGTTTTGGGGGTAAGACTAGAACACGAAGTGTTGCAAGGCCTCAAAGCAGTGCTCTGAAATCCTGAGAAACTAAGCCTCCTTCTGAAACCCTCAGCTCATACAACTAAGCGAAAGAGTAACTGATGAGATCGGCAGAGCTCAAGTGTGAAACCACATTAGCAAATATACAAGCTGAGACCAGAGCCCTTCAAATCACCTCAGACTGTACTGGAAAAAGAAAAATCTATTCTGGTTTAGAAAACCTTAGTTAAAGAAATGCCTCCAGCTTCAGGTGGTGAAAGTGTGCACATAATCAGCCCATGCACTTAAACAACATACTGATAACTTTTTACTATGAAAATGCATGAACAGTCAGCTGCTCCCACTTCGGCCAGTATAAAGAGGGTCTGTTCCTACTGCAATTACATGATAAAAGAGGTCACAACATGTTCTGTCTTCTTGAAAATCAACATTCCAGCTTCATGAAACAGGTATTTATCATACCTATTTTAGGTGAAAATCTCTTTGCTACAGGTAAGCTGCCCATGGCACACTCCACAATTTCTCAGATGTGCAGATAGGAAATACTGAGTAGCATGACTGCCCATACAAACTATGGAGGAAGTCAGCAGACTTCACACTCTGATACCCCTGATAGGAGATAAAATAATCATAACGGGGGTGCTTCCCCACTTTAGAGACAAAAATAATGGCTGGGATGTGACTATGCTGCAGACAAAGAGGTGTCTGCAAACAGAGGAAAAGAAAATGAGTGTACAGAAAATGAGTGTATGAATGTATGTACAAAGAGAGAGACTGGTGAAGGTTAGCCCAAATCACTTAGGTACAGTCTGTCACCCCAAACAACTTGCAATGATCACTGCTGCTCTAAAAATAAAGGCTAGAGCTTTTACATATTAGACTCCATGAAAATAGAAGGAAACGCTTACTTTTTCATCTTATAGAACCCTTTCTTTACAGTACCAAAGTTGCCAGAGCCAAGTTCTCCTTCCTCCAAGGTTAACAATTTTCTGTCAAGAGTGACATTTTTTGGTTTCATTTCATCTGGATCAGCATATGGACTTTCATAGACCTCAGTATCCATCGGTAAGGCCTCCCTCTGATCACCTGCAGTTCAATCAATGAGAGAATTAGACATTATGTGGGACATTTTTGCTGCCACAGCTACTATATTCACCCTTCCTATGTTAGGGATGATCAGTGTGTTTGACTTAAAAAGGCATTATAAAGAAACACATGCAGTCCAGCTACAGGCACTTTAGAACACACCAAAATGGAGTGACCTCCACCTGGTGACATGCTCTAACTATTGAACACCTGCGTAATGTGAAACCAGGAGGTTCCTTCACAGAAGGAGGGCCAAAGGCTGGCCCTTCTTCTTAGTACTTCCCATTAGTCACCTCAGACAATTCTTCTCTCAGAATGCTGCCTTACATGTAGTTCATTCTTATGCACCCATCTTTAATTGCATTTTACAGAAAGCCTGAGCGCTGACTTGGCACCATGGATGTAACAGGGAACAATTCTTTTTATGAAGTGCAAGGATGCAGCTTATAGAGTCAAGGAAGTAATAATCTTTCACTTCAAGATGGATAAAGGGATTTCTGCTAAACAAATTTTATTACAGGTGATGACATCTGGCATTTTCAGCTACCAGGCTTGAGCTGTGGTAGTGGCTATACCGATACACAACATGGTCTGAAATATATTGCAAGAAAAAAGAAATATGGGTTGAGGAGAGATCTCTGACATTAAGAAAGAAATTGTATTAATGATGTGAATTACGCTGCCTACCTTTTTCTGCCCCTGTAAGACCTCTCTTCCTTTGCAGCACATAAGGATTAAAAGGTGCTTCATCAGGCAGGTGGCCAATAGTTGGTTGAAGCTGTAGCACACAAATAGTTTTTATGTTTAGCAATGAATAGGCATGTTAAAAGCATTTTTCCCCCCCCAAGGATTATGGCATAATGATAGCAAGAGACACACAGGTGAGAATCAGAATATAAGAAAGGGATCTAACAAAGTTTATTTCATCCGGAGTAAATATGCAGGACAAATGAAACATACACTGCTAAAGCATAAAAAGTTATTGCAAAAATTTCAGAGCATTTGATCTGAGAGAATTAACTGGAATGGGTCATGCACAAATCTTATTCTGCAGATATTAAATTTGTATGCTCTTTTCAAACATGCCTTGTAACACAAGTAGTCATAAAGATTTCTCTTTAATTTGTCCTTCCTCCCTCTCCAAGTCATCTCTCTCCATATCTAGGCCATAAAAGAAATTCCTAGCATGAATGAAACCAAAAAACACTTCCCTGTTTCTCTTGTAGATGTTATAGAGTGATTCCACTTGGAAGAAACTGAAGAAAAAATTATTTTAATAAGTTCGTATAGTGTCATGGACAAACATCATGGACCAGGTACTAGGCCAGTCAGTCTGGATGGAGAAAATTACCTAATTCTTACTGTAATTGAACACCTGGTTCAAACACAAACCTTCTGCCTTTACACTTTGTCAAAGGAATACTTTGGAGCACACAAACCATGACAGCAGAAACAGCGTGTTCTGGAGCTCTTTGGCTGAAGGATGAGGCTGGCACAGTAGAGTACAGATGAGAGAAACTTAAACTCTACCCTCTCCTGTCTGTGAACTGTCAGGAACTGCAACTTACAGAACTTATTTCTGCAGTTTAGTCCCTTTTCTCTACCAATGTAGAAACTTTACTTATGAGTGACCTCACCCTCCTAAGAGAGTGTTTTAAAACCAGAAATTCAAACCTCAGCACGAGTTTGCTCAGCTCAAACAGGAAACAAAGGTATATTGTACTTGCAAAATATTGGATAGGAATGTTTTGCCAATATTTGAGTATGTAATCCTTCTTTTTAATAACTCAAGCTTCCAGGGACATAAGTTCCTGCCTGAAACAGTTGTGGTTTTCAAGTAAAGAGAAACAGAGCTTAAGAAATGTCCAGGAGTGAATTATTGGATGCAACAGAAGTTTTATCACCTGGAAACTGCATTTTGTAAGGAAAACGTCTGACACAGGTGGCATGGACCTTTCAATCACAATGAAGTGGTCTACCCAGATGGATGAAGCAGAAAAGGTTTTGCTACATAGATTTTACAGCAAATGCCAAGTAGGAGGCCAACACTTGGCCAGATTCTGACCTTGTGGGATGAACGTAGTCAGCATCAGGGATGGTAAGGGTAATGCCTCTGACCTGAATCGCTTAGTCGTGTGGAACAGTGCTGAAAGTCCATTTGCTGTCAGGGCAAGCCACAAGAGCCCTGAGACAGTTCTGAAATAGGTCAGGGACCAAACTGATCTACCAGTCTCAAGAACAAGGAGGCAAAAGAATGGTATAAAACAAGATCCTCAACTCAATTTTTGTTTTTTCTAGCCTGATATATCTTGCCAAGTCTACAAGTTAAGAACTGTATTTCCAAGACCTGTATCATCCTATTTCACATGAAGGCCATTCACTAACCCAAAAAATCCCAGGTTTGTAAATCAATCCTAAACCTCTCAAGTGATGGGCTGGCAGTTTCACTGTAAAAACTTAGGACAGTCCTTCCCTACACTATGTCAGGATGTACAGGGAAATGCTTATGTTCAGTCGAAAATATTAATAATTTTTTGCAAAGCAAATCCAAATCAGTTGAAATTATATTTACTGAGACCACAGTGACTTTAGTTTGTGCATTCCATATATCCCCTATTGCTTCAGAACACACCAAGAATACTTAGGGGTTTTTATCTTATTGCTAGTTACTATGACCCATTCAGTATTACTACTAAGAAGTGATTGTAGTTCCACTGGATAGCTTCCAGAATGTATTCTTGCTTCCTACCTTAACTATATTTATACTCTAAAAGGGAGATCACTTTGCATTTCAAAAGGTAATTGGGCTGAGTGGATACAAAGCAATATGGACTGACATTAATGCCTGTTGCTAGGCAGATACAAGTACAAAGGAAGCAGGTGTAAATTCCCACATTGCATTAATTTCATGGAAGCCTCTGGTTAACACTTCTTGGCCAACAGGTCTAAAAGTACAGTGGGAAAAAAAAAGAATAAAATATAGGATGAAAATATGGTGACTACCTAAGAAAGGGACCGAGATGTTGATTGTCAGTTTCCAGGATACTGGAAAGAAAGTCATTAAATACTCAGGAATGATAGAATCACAGCTGCAAAGGATACTTTTTGTGTAATTCACCCTTAAAATAATCTTTCTGATAAAAATGCAGTGTGTTCAGAAGATGACATCTAGAAGAGACTGCCTTGTTCTGGGACTCCTTTGCTTTTTGAAAGTTTTGATAGGACTATCAATTATCCCCTGTTCACCGTGGGGACTAGCTCAACTGTGCACCAAAAAGTGTGATGGGAATATCTGAACCCAAGCCCTGAAATGTCCCACAGCACACCCCTCACTTAAAACACTAAAACCTCTCCTGTAGTCACAATTAGGTAAAGTCACATGGGTGTAACTGTAGCTCCAAGCGAACAAATAAAGCATGGCAGCTCTGTTTTCTTTCTTTCCACAGTCAAGTGATGGTTAGAGTTTGTGTAGTTGCTGCTACATGACAAGGAATATAAACTCAGCCCACAGGAGGGTAAGACTTCAGCAGATCTTCCTCATTTTAAGATGAGTAAAAAGATTGCCTGCCATTTTTCCTCATCGTAATCCAAGCCTACAAGAAATGAGACATATGCACTTTGCGAAAGGCCTTTGAAAATGCTAAGCTCAAGGTTTCAAATGGACTTGAACTTAGTGTTTGAAGAAGTGGTACTTTTTTGATAGCTGCATAATGCTGCAGGCTGAATCATAATGATGGAAATTACAAATTCCACTGCAACACCTTGTATAGGTCTGGTAAGCAAGCTTCATTGATAGCTGTTCAACAGGGCAAAAACACTTTAGTACTCAGTCAGTACTGAATAACCCCACAAATTTTAAAAATTTTGGAGGTTATAAGGTCTCAAGCGATTAGTACTAGTTGCAGACTAGAGAGGTAGTTAAATATCCATGATCCTAGGCCTCCGTGGATGAACTGGCACACTTTGGACTGGCCAAACAGAATTCATGTACACCAAATTCATACATCTCAAGAATTCATTCACCAGTGCAGAACTGCTGGTAAAAATACAGCTCTGGCCACGACATAGCTGACTTCTCAGATGGGAGGTATAGAGATGTTTCTGTTCTTTGCAACTCAAGAACAAAATAAAAGAATCAAAACGGATTGGATGCCCTTGTTCAAGAACTGCATTAAAAAAAAAAAAAAAAAAAAAAAAAAAGCACATCACTCCTGTGCTTGTGATTAAAACTCTACAGCTGTGAACTGGAAATGACACAGTGACACAAAATCTAACAAAGTGGGTTCTCTTTCTCAGAGAGTTGCTCGTGTTTGAGTGATAATGCCTTACATATCATTAGTTTTAGCTTAGTTAACTAATGTATATGTATGTGTGGAACGATATTCCCTATTACTGCAGTTTGGTTAAACAGCTTAACAATGGCTTTTTCATTAATACTTCTGGTTGAATTGCATTTGATGTTTCCCTGGCAACTTTTCATCTCATATTAGTAACTTGGGAATATTATGCAGCACTCAGAAAATCTCAATCATTTTTATTTAGTTTTGCCAGTTATGTATTCATGGAATGTAGTACCCTGCATGACTTTGAATAGGATTTTCTAGCACAAAGGTTGGAACTTCTCTCTTTAAGTCAAGCAAGGCTGACTAGAAATGGTTCAGGAATATGTATCATTGCATGTACAGTGATCTGGGTATAGTACAATAAAGTTTATTTTTTTTCAACTGTTGTTTAAATCCAGAGTCCTTTCTGCCCTACACTTTAAAACCAGCAAATTTAATTCGGCATATATTTTTCTGACAAAAGGGATATTTGTCTTAATAGAATTATGGTATTGGGCATGAGATTACTCCTTGTATTCTTACAAGAAGCAGAGAATAAGCAAAATGGCCATGGATTTGCACATCCAGTAAAAAGGAATATAAGAAAAACAGCCCACTAGAGGAGCCTGTTAAAAATGGCACATACTATGTGACACCTTGTGGTACAAACACTTGTGAACTATGCAGCAGGCTGTCATTTTATGATATTATACTAGAAAGCAGTTGTGAGCCTGTCCTGTTTTCACTTTTTTTTTTTTTTTTTTTTTTTTTTTTCCTTCCACTAGGGTTTAAGTTTCATTGGTTAAACTCCTCAGGCACTCACAGTTAAGCTAATCTAAATGTGCCATTCTTCTCGTTATTAGGGACTGGCTATACTGGTGTGGCACTTTTATAATAATATAGCCACATCCATAATGAGAAGAAAGCAGGAGGCAGAGAGTTTGCATTGACTCAAAGATATCTTTCTAAGTGAAAGGAATACCAATTTCTGTGCATGGATAAGGACTTATCCAGATAACCCCTAAGTAGGTCTGATAGCATCTAGCTGATGCAATGAAAAAAGACCCACTTACTGTTTGCTTTAAAATATGAATTAAATGGCTCTAACTAGTCTAAGTCTGATTTTTATAGTAAATATTATAATTCTATAGTACAGAATATACTTATGAAGGCAATCAGTATAGAAAGTGTGATTTCTTTTCAGGTTAATAATTCTGATTTGCGAAAATGCAAACGTATATGTAGGACTATAAAGTCGTCTTATTTTGCTAAACCAAACTGAATAGCAAAACACTTCACAACAAAGACCTTATTAGCATCAGCCAAATCCTCAACGAGCTTTGTCTAAGACATCTTAGTCACCACTAGGTGGCACAAGTTCATTTACATTGTCTAAATTGACAATTTTACGTTAGTGAGTAAAACAGCTTGAAAAATTTTGAACTGTTAAATTATATAAAAATAACCAGTTGTTATTTTTTTTTTTTTAAAAAAAACCAACCGTGATTTTCAAGACTGAGCAAATATAACAGCTTAAATTTTCCATTTTACTGTCTGAAATTTTTTGATGTAAGAGAAGTAACTGACTAATTAACCAGGTCTAAATTAAACTCTGCATGCTGGAGCTAATGGATGGTAAATCTTGGAAATGTTCAGAGCAGGACTTCTGTTTAGAGTCTAAAATTTGGCAATATGATGAAATTTCTGGGTTTGAGTATGCAGGGTTAAGAATGTGTAAATGTTGATCAAATCAGACTTCTGAAATGGTTTTCTTCAAATGTCTTTCTCTGCCAATATGCTTCACTCTGTATTCTGTGTATGTTCCCAAAAGGTGGGAAATAGGTATTTGATGGCAAAAAGCAACCAGAGAGGAGCACAGGTTTTACCAGGTGAACAGACAGCAGAGTGAACAAAGTCATGTGTAAAGAATTCAGATCCCACACTCACTTTTTTGAACAAAAGCAAAACACTTCTCTTGTCTAATGTGTGATAGTATGGCAATATTTTTCAGATGGCCTTATAACATGTCCTGACCCTGTACAAGATTTGTACAAGATGACAGCACATTAAAAATGAGACGTGGGTCCTGTATTGGTATAGAGATGACAACAGCTATTGGTACTTCAGTATAAAAGTGAAGTTATAAAAGAAGAATATTTGCTATTTACCAGGATAATAAAATACAGTATATATCATAGTTTTTCACTCTGAATATCAGTGTACCCCTAGGGCTTTTTATGCCTGCTCATTTTTGTCGAAGAGCAACTGGAAATAAATAAATAAACAAACAAACAAACAAACAAACAAACAAATAAATAAATAAATAGACTTATGGGTGGAATAAATAAATAGACTTATGGGTGGAACAGGGACACACACGTTATTCTCAGCATGCAAACAAAGCTCATAACTACATGCTTCACAACTACATCAATTATTGGACAGCATAATTTTCTGGCCATGCAGCAGCATTTCCATTAGTACAGGGCTGTGGTTCCCCTTGACTCTCTGACACCTTATCACCTTTCTCGTTCTCCTTGGTCTTGTGACATCTTACGCTTGCCCAAATGTAATTAACGTCAATGCATAACAAGATTTGTGCACACAGGCTCTGCAAGAATATACTTTGTGGTCCTTATTAAAAAATTGTTCCCTAGATGTGCTCAGTAATAGCACTGTGTAAGCAAACCAATTTTCTGATTAGGAATTATAGTTCAGAGTGGAAATATTCTGTTCTGCTATAAGAGACTATTTTTTGAAAAACATTTTATCACCTACATTTTATTTGAAGACATGTTGAGATCTGCACTAATATTCTGGGATATGAAAAATTGCTTAAAAATAGTCCCTCAATTTTTAAAACTTCTTTAAAACCATTGTTTTAGTTATAAAATCAAGGCCATAATTATGCAGATGATTAGGAAAGAAGCAGAAAGCTTACAAAATCTTCACAACCTGATTGTTAGTAGCTAAGACACACATTTAGTAACAGCAAGCCAGAAAAGAAGGAAAAAAAAAAAAGAGTGAAATTAGTCAAGTGTAAGTCCTTTTAACTCAGTCAAAAACCTAAAAAAACCATATGAGGCACCTTTTTGCTGCCAGCCTTTGGAAAGGTGTACGATTTGAGTCTTGAGATAATTCCACCTCCTGCCCAACTCTAGAAACCACAATGTCAAAGAGGAACAGTAAATGTGTCAGGAAAATAGCTAAAGGTATTTTATAAAACAGACGTAGTATACAAGAACAAAACACTCCCAACCTTTTTCATGTGTGCCTGCAAGTACACATATGCATCAAACAAACATAGTATAGGAAATCTCAGTATTAAATTTTCTTTCAACTATATTACCCTTAAACAATCTTGATCTGTAGATACACCTTAAGGCAATTTTTAAATTCAAGCACATTACTCTTTCCCCAGATCTTTTACACAGTATGTTTCTCCTGCCTCTTTTACTGAACTTTAGCTACTCCCCAACATATTTAGCAATTTATGTTAATAACTTTAGTGTCTATAAATATGACTAATGTATCAAGCAAGTTTTGAAGCACATCTTTCTCTTACAACAATGTGGTTATTGAAGCAAAAAGTAACTGATATTAATTCCAAACAAAAATGAACAGGCTTTAGATTTTACATGTGCACTTATGTTCTCTATAAAGATACTTTTAAAAGAAATGCCAATATGTTTTACAACAATACATTAATTTAATGAAACATGGCTAATTAGCATTTCTAGGGGTCACTGAGAGATCATATCTGCCTAATTGAAACTTCAATGCAGTACTTACTTACTGACCAAGCATTTGAGTTGATGCTGGAGTTGAAAGACTAATCTGAGACATGTTCTCAGCCACTTCAAACAGCCTCTGAACTGACTGATGATTAGATGTTCTGAACTTTTAAATAACTCATTTGGCCTTTTTTTTTTTTTTTTTTTCTGAAAAGATAGGTTTTCAAATAGGTAGGATTGGTATTTTTCCTATCTTTCTTTTTAAAAAAAATGTTTGCTTTCGCATAAAAAAGGTATCTTTTGTTTCAAAACACCAAGGATAGCCATACAGTCCCTACTCCTGATGGAAGAACAGAAACTTTTGATGCTTGATGGTCTTCATAGCTGTGATACATAAAAATTCAGTTACTGCATATTGAAAAAGCTCACCAAATCTGCTATTTTCTATTACTTCACAAAATTCTCTTTCCATATTGGAAATAAATTAAATCTGAAGCACTTCTTAGCTATAGTTTTGCAACAGATAAATTCTCTAAGAGGTTAAGTGCTCTTTTGCACATGATGAGCATGGTTCATTACATTTTTCGGACATGAGCAGCTCCCAGCACTTGACCTGGCAGCCACCTGTAATGCCTTGATGGTAATACTGCTTAAATCAAATGTTTGTATTAGAAATACAAATGCATGCCAAGAGAAATACTTAAACAGGGAGAGCAACAGTACTCGTCTGAAGTTAGGCTGTACTCATAAGGTTTAGGTCTGTTATTAATAGCTGATAAACTGTGGCTAAACAAATAAAAACACTGAAAAAGGTTAAGTGAAGAATTTGGCAAGTGACCAGAAGTTGTCAGCTTCACTGTAATGTCAACAACTGATTTTAGGTTCATATCAAAAGCTCTTCTGCAGGTTTAAATATATATTGGGATGATGCGGAGGGAGAAAAAAAAGTAATTTACAAAGTCAAAGGGGATCAAAATCACCTTAAATCTAGTTACGGAACCTCTGATCAAAGGCAAGAAAAGACCTAGTCCATACATGTGCTGAGAATTAAGAAGGAATAAGCCTCCATATTCCACATGGAGGCATTATCTCCAATACAGACTTTCAGCAGAAAGTCCTTCCTTTTGCAGAGGAAGCATATTGGTGTCACTAAAAAGGAGATCTCCAGATTACAGAAAAGGGGACAAGAAACAGTGACATTTTGTTACTCTAAGTTTCTTCTTGGAACATTAGCAAATACTATACAAATCCCTTCTCTGATGTCGTAAATTTTACTCCAAGCCCTTACACACCAGCAGTTTGCAGTTAAATTAGTTGAACAGTCTGCCTTGCATGTCATCCAGCAGATCTGTCTACAGTGGTCACATATTCACTTAGCTTCAAAGCAACTTCAGATCTTGGCATGGTCTCCATTTAGGCTTTGGAATCTCACCAGTGTGATTCAGGCATTAATATATATAAAAATAAAAAATTACTGAAAAACTTATCTGGATAGGAACACCAGTATTAGACTGTCCCCAGAACAGGCCACTCCACTCCCTTCTTCTGCTGTTAATCATGTTCTGTCCCTCTACTCTCCCTCTTTTGCTTCTTTATTCTAATCAATCTTTTCTCACAAGTCATGATCATTCCTGTTGCCTTGCTCTGGATTATCTCCTGTTGGACAACTGTCATGGGTTTGAGTCAGTGGTGGGGTTTTTTGGTAACAGGGGAGGGGGCTATAAGGGCGGCCCCCTGTGAGAAGCTTCTCAAAGCTCCCCCAGCTCCATGTCAGCTCCACTGCTGTTTGGAAACTGAGCCCATCGGCTGCGCCTCTGCGATAACGTATTTAAGAAGGGACGTGGTGATGGGCAGTCGGACTTGTGAGGAGGAGTTGATGCAGCTGCGTGAACACCAAGGTCAGTGGAGGAACGGAGGAAGAAAGGAGAGGGGAGGTGTTCCGGAGCAGAGACCCCCCTGTATCCCGTGGTGAGACGGCAGGGCGGCCCCCCCCGACACCCATGGAGATCTATGGTGGAAGAGGCATTGATTTAGGGCCTGTGTTTTTTGCCTGGGTGATCAAGGTGCTGTGCCCGAAGAAGGCTGGGGTCTTGTGGGAAGAGGCAGCCCCGCTGCTGTAGTTCAGCGCTGGGAGGATTGCAGCATGCGGGGGAGGCCCACGCCGGAGCAGCTTGGGAGGGGCTGCAGCCCATGGGAGGGACTCCAGTTAGAGACAGCTGGTGACACACACCGGAGCGGTGTGGGGAAATGATGTGGCCTGTGGGAGGGACTCATGTCGGAGAAAGTTTGTGGAGGACTGTCTCCTGTGAGAGGGGGACCACGATGGAGCAGGGGGAACAAGTTCCAGGGGGAACAAGTTCCATCTGAAGATGGAAGAAGCGGCAGCACTGACTGCACCCCACATTCCCTGCCCCTGTGCCGCTGGGGGGAGGAGGTAGAGATATCGGGAACAGATCTGAGCCCAGGAAGAAGAGAGGGGTGTGGAGAAGGTGTTCTCAAGACGTGGCAATGCTTCTCACTGTCCTACTCTGTTAAGTGTTGTTGTTAGTGTCTGTAATAAATGTATGTTCTTTTTTTTCTTCCCCTAATGAGTCTGCCTTTTGCTCATGACCATAATGGGTGATCTACCCCTTCTGGTCCTATCTCAAATCCCAAGCCTGGCTCATCTGTCCCTTCTCATTGCCAGAAGAGAAGGGGGAGAGAGTAGCTGCGTGGTGTTTGGCTGCTGACCAGCCTCAAACCACGACAACACTCTTCAGTGCAGTGCGAAAAACTAGTGAAAGTACCCCAGCTGAGACCTTATCAGTATTAAACAAGCTGGAAACACTCCTGATGTTTCCCTTTCTTCTACCAGCATGATGGTTGCTGGTCCTTGTTCCTCTTCTGATCCATTACAGACATCACATCCTCTGAAAAACTGTCACTGTTCTCCATCCTGTGGGGAGCTGACTATTAGAAGAGCAATATCTTGCACTAGTTTCTACTGAACTTCACCTGTTTTTTTCCAGGACAATTCTCCAATTCATCACAATTATTCTGAGTCCTAATTCAAACATTCACAATTGCAATTCACCTATTTTGGCAACCCATTTTGTAAAACAAAAAATACTTCAGAAATGTCAGAAACTCTTAAATCTTAATTATGATGGTGTAAATAATGTGAAGATAGATTGCACATCCTCTACATAAGACTTTGTGACTGTACTTGTTCTTTTCAGGATGCATTTTTGATTTTGCAATCTGAATCCATTGTATTTCAGGCTCTGTGTACAAAAAAAGCTGAATGAGTGGTCTTTGGTGAGTTACTGCTTTTGCACAAAGATATTAATATATGATAACCTGCCATTATTAACTGAAGTTTTTGAGTTGCAGAAATAGTAATATTAATTTAAATTTTACCACTTTCTATTTTTATGTTTATACTATAGGAAATTAACTTAGCAGGCTTGTTCCATAAAACTCCCAAAGAAAACACAAAACTCAGATTTCAGTTTTAGGAAGTTCAGAATGTCAAACACATCATAGCTCTAAACAGTCTTTTAGGAGGATACTTGCAAAATATGCACTCAACACATATCACTCATATCTCTGGTAGTTTTCCTTCTTAAATGTAAGTACTACTGATCAATCTTGAGAACATTAAAGGTTGTATGTAAAATGTGCAAGTGACCAAAAGTATTTAAGTCTATACTTGCTAGAGAAGTACAAGTTCGAGGGTGGATTTGATTTCATCTAACTGTGGCTACCTGAAAGAAGGCCATATAGTCTTGACTAATCACCTAGGCCCCTTCTGAGTGTAAAGGCATAGGCAATATCGGCAGAAAGTCATTCTACCACTTTTAGGTTGAAGTGATGTGGACAGGTATGTGTCTCTCACTTGTTTCAGAATGCCTTGAAAGTGAACCTTTGTAATTTGCTGAATGATTGGCTCTTCATTTGGGTTCACTAATGTTACGCAAGGTTAATCATACCCTGTTAGCATGACCTTGTCTTTCACCTGTAAAGCGTCATGAACAACTGAGGTGGCATTACTGCAATGCACTGATGAAAAGAGAAGAGGTTGACACACTCACTTTCATTGCACAGTCCTAAAGATGAGTAAGCTTAGTCAGACACAGGGTTTTTTTGTTACTACTTCTTTGGTAAGTTAAATACCTGAAGTAAGATTTCTTGCATTTACTTTTATTTACATTTAAACTGCAAAATTTTCTATGGATAATTCAAAACCTACATAGTATTCCCACACTGAATATGTCTGCTCTGTCACTATAATTGCATGTGTACCAGATGATATATGTGTGGTCTCATGTGCCTAAACTTCACGGCTGTCCTTGTAAATGGCATAAACCTAAACCTCAGGACAATATTAAAAAAAAAAAAAAGCACCAATTTTGCTTGCGTGATTTCTAATGGTTTAAAAGGGCACCTGATTTTCAGAAAGTGGTGGTATGACAATGGTTGTTCCTGGACCCACAGGGTACTGAAATAAATGTAATTGCCTATTTGAACAAAAATATTTTTTTCTGTAATGTGGGACCGCATCAAGATAATGACATAGATGATTAGGCTCTCCAGGGAGTGCTCAAACAACTAAATTAAACTCCCTGTTTCAGATGAAATCAACTACAGCTGAATGAGATAGTGTTATGTATCACACCTCAGGTGGCTCCTTTAATCAATGGACTCTAAGAACTTACACAATTATAATCACAGACAGGCTTCCTCATTCTTCATGGAGTTGATGAAGGAACTTCCCCTACTTTCAGTGCACAAGTAATCATACCCTTGTGCAAAATCTGATGTTAACTGCACACACCAAATATGAAAATAAATTGAACCTCCATTTCTGCTTCAGTCAGCAGATTCTCAAAACTGAGTATGTAAACAAAGCAGTATCTCTCCTCCTAGTGTTGATACAGTCACTATGGAACATGACCATCAGTGAGGCATTTTGCATATGAAAAATACTGATTTTCGCACACATTATATGTATAAAAGAAGTTCACAAAAATTAAATGATGATTAGCTCATGCAAAACACTGATGAAATCAATAACCATGCTAGAATATGTTGAGCTTATTCTTTTCAACTTACTGCTTATATCCTTAGAAAAACAAATTCACTGCTGAAATAATATCCAAGCATTAGGATTCCTAAAGCAGTATGTGACTGTAAGCCTTCTCACCTGAATGCTACCGCTATATCACCACCTACTCTTACCTTAGAAGGAGTCCCAGGAAGAGGAGGACAAGTGTTAAAAATAACAGTATCTGTAAAATAATCAAATGTAGAATGATACTGAGCAAGGTGAGAAACATACTGTAAGAACACAAAATTCTACACAGGGGGCCAACTTTCTAGTTTTTAAGTCACATTGCAGTGTTTCACCTGGCCCATCTCCTTTGCTTTTGTCTCTAATGTGCAGCAGACTCTGGTACTGGCTGGCACAGAGACAGAAGTATATGCAGTGCCTAAATGATTCAATGGAGTGGAAAAAGTATGGGCATATCCTCTCACCATGGCACTAGTATCCAGTCAGAACAACAGAAGGAGGCTTTAGAGAGAGAACACCACTTCTGGAATAGCATGAGTTAGACAAGGATCAGGCAGAAGCATGTTTTTTTTTCCCCTGGCAGTCAGGGCAAGAGAGGGGACAACATCTTGTCAGTATTTAAGATGACATTAAAGAAGAAATAGGCCAAAGAGCACACTGGACCTCAGGACACCCCCTCGACCCCTTCCCTTCCCCCCAGGTTACTGAGGAATGCCTCCCTGACCTCCATTTCCAGCATTAGGTGCAGCCAGTCCCTTGTTCTGTCCTGCTCTCCCCAACATGGGACGCAATTTCTCATCTACCAGCAACTCACCTGTTTGGTGCACCTCTCACCACGCCCGACCTGAATGCCCACAGCAGCGCTGCTGACGCACTGGCCTCAGGCTTGGGGAGCGCTGGGGTGCCCACCTTACTGGTTAGTGTGGGGGGGCCAGTAACAAACACACGCTGCCACTTGGAGCCGCAAAGCACGTGTTGGATCTGACATTAATTTAGAGCCAGCAATAACTGGAGTTGGTAGTCTTCCTTAAGCTACAGGATCTGCCTCCATCCTGCATGGTCCGGCAGGTCTTAACTCATTTGAAAAGTTGGAAATTTAACACTGAAATTGTTTTGATCCAACTTTAACCTACCGTAATCTGTACCCACCTACATGGCAAGTGGAAAAAAATGAATACATCTTTAGCATCATTGGCATGGCTATTTATACATATCAAAATTATAGAAATAACTCACCATTTTCTGAGCCCAGTTGTGGACAGGGAATGGTAAGAACCCTTAATAATCCATCTGGTTTGTATGAATAATGCTCAACTAACTACCAGAATGAGAGAAAAAAAAAATGAAAGGAGAGAAAAAGATATGAAAAGGTAAGAGAGGCATAATTAAATATATTGTCTCTTTAAAATTGTGTACATATGTACAGTAATTTGTATATATTACAGCTTTTAAATTTCCAGTGACTCCAGGAAAGAAATATGCAGGACATTTACAGGAAAGTCTAAGAATTAATATATGCAAGTAAAGACTCATATTTTAGATTTGTGACTCACTTTACTTGTTTTAATAGAATTTTAAGCAAGACGACAAAAGAGATTTCTGCAGGGGTTTCAATTCCCTCAGCATTTTCAATTTACATAGTCATTTTTCCAGTATCAGTGTTATTTTCAACTATGGCATAGTCAGCTATGCATTCCTTATTTGTTTAATTTTTAGCAGGGTTCAGACATATTTTGGTGGTAACCCTCAGCAAACTATGCTTTTTCAGCCTAGAAGGTAGAGAATTTCAGAGCTAAAGAATGCAGTATGTGTACAGCATCCTAAACCATCCCCCTTGGGCTTCCTAGAATTCTGTTCACTGCTGTCATAAAGGACATCAGCAAAAGAACATACTTAGCATAGCTATTATTGAATATGGTCACTTGCAAATGCGTCCTAGAGAATGTTCAGCTAGCTGAAAAATAATTACAGCAATTTTGGACTCAGCCAAGCTGCAATATCACATTTAAAAATTATTAAACTCTTTACACTTAAATAGCTTTCTACATTAACATGTATGTTCTTCAGGTATAGAAACCACATAAAGTTGGAAACATATGACAAATAACCTGCCAAAACATGTTGCTGTTTAGCTAAAGACTGTTGTAGCACAGTGGAGTAAAACAAGATGCTTTAGTCAGTTATATGGAAACATGATGACAGATATCCAAGTGATTGAAATTTAACAGACCTGCCAGAGGGTGTCAAATCTTTTTCCATCTGGTATGGAGAGCTTTCCTGTCTTATCTCTGTCGATACGGTAATGCAGCACTTTTCCATCACTCAGTACACACAGGGCATAGGAGCCATTGTTGTCCCTTTCTCGGATACTGTAGGAATAAGAGAGATTTTTTTCATGGCTACGCTTTAGTAGGAATAACCATCTGCATTTAAGTTCTTTTTTAAATCACCCTTTCCTTTAAGCTTTTGAATCAAAAAACAAAGCAAAATCAGCACTGTAACTTCTGACACAATTTTCTTAAGCCTTTCATCTATTTCCTAGTGACATTTGTTGTCAGATTTTGTCATATAAAATTCCCTAGTGTTTCTTTTTTTTTTTTTTTCTCCCCCGAAAGGCAACAGATGACAACAGAAAATCCACGATGTGGAGCTCTTTGCTAGGCAGCTACAGAACACTGTGCAGCGAAAGTACTCTCTGAGCAAGTGTTTGAAGGCTTGTGCACTGCAGGCCTACAAAGCCCACAGAAGTCTGAGGCTAAGATCCAGCATCTACCAGCAGCTACACTTCAATCTCATCTACAGCTGACCTAAAATTAAACATAACAGCTAAGTGCCTTCACTAAAGCAAGACTTCTCTCTTATATCTTTTATTTTGAAATAAAAAGATGACAGTAAGGGCAGAAGATAAAATACTAAAAGAATATAATGTGAAATACAAATAAAGGGAAAATCATTGTGCACTGAAACAGCCTGTCGTTTGGCTGGGAATTTAAAGTAAATCATACATTTCTGTAATCATTAATTTTTATAACTTCTGTAAAGATGTTAATGCTTTGTTGCAGGTTTCACATAAAATTCATATGAAATTTCACATGGTATTGGGGTCTATATATGGTCTAAAGTTCACCAGGGAGAGATCACAGAATGTAATATAAAAACATTTTCTAAATTCATAGGTAGCCAGGATGATCTCCTTTCAGGAGATCTGCAAGCAACATCTGAAATGCCTATAAAGCGTTGCAGTTGTTTTATGAGTACTCAAGGCTAGCTCACACTGAGACCAGCATCTTCTGGTGACTGGACCCAGAGTAGATAGGAATTTGCTACTAGCCCCATTATAGTTGGCATACCATTTCTGAGTTTAGAAAGTAGGCTTTTTCTGTTAGTTTGAGTTGCCCATCTTCACTTGCTGCTGACAGTGAGACAGCAATAGAGCTAGATTAAAATTTTCTGGAAAAAACAGATTCAGCAACACTGAAGCAATTCTTGTTTCAGTCTTCTACTCATTCTCCCTTGAATTTTTCAAAAGCCGTGAAAAATAGTGGGATATGCTCCTTAAGGTGTTGGGAAGCTTTGCTAGTGCAACACTAGTACTTTCTAGCACATCTCAGAAGATTGCAGAGGCAATCATTAAATTCTGCTCCTCAGCTGACTCACTGAACTAAAACTGTGTTTTGTCTGAACAACTCATGCAACTATTTTTTCAAGCAGAGTGATTCTTGTTGCCTAAGATGTGAGCAGGACACTGGCTAAACGAAAAGAGAAGTAGGGTCAGTTTTATTTCTGAAACCAAAGTAACTTGGCTAGTCTCTCTAAATCAACGAGACGTATTGTGGTTTTTCATGACATGCAGGTATTTTCTCAGCATGCTGATTTCCTGTGCTGACTGAGCAGTGGAGAGAAACAGGTTGTGCTAAAATGAAGAATGACTTTTATTTTGCCTTCCTCTGACTTGCTCTTAGCAAATAAGGCTTAGAAAAGTATTTTCAGAATAGAATGTACTGGTTTTAAAACACAAATGAATGACATTTCATTGCATTCAGACTTCTGTTCAGAGTACAGCAAAAGTAAGATTACAAAAATGCAATGGTTTGTCTCCCAGTAAAAAACATCTTTCACGTTTCACATGAGGACATGGTACCTCCAATACAATTAGCTCAACTGAAACTGATTCTCATTTGCAAGACCTGTTACTATCACATGAGGCATCATAAACATTTCTTGAGAGCACAGGCATCAGTGGGAGAAGAGAGTCCTGATTTCTAAGGACCATGGCACAGATCCAAACAGCACTATCAGTACCAAGTGCAGGATTTAGGCAGAGTTCAGGTTTATAAGGTTGTAGTTGCATTTCTGAGCTCTTTCTTCCCCCAACCCAACAGCTACTTAACTCTGAAGACATCTGCCATTCACTGTCATGGCAACTTCTGTCAGACAGTTCTATCACTGCACATGCAAAAAAATCTCCACTCTGGCACCTGTGATTGATCAGGGTCAAGAGGGAGCCTCATTCTCCTGGGGTTATGGTCCAGGCGTTTTTTTAAACTGTAGCCAGTCAAGTCCAGCACAATTTGTTTCCCTACAAAACACAACAACAGAAGGTACTGCTATCTTCCAAAATATGTCTGAAGAGCAGAATTATCAAAAGCATTGAAACAACAGCCAAATTATGGCCTACGTCTTAGTTTCGGCAACCAGATCCCTTACTGGTCCAAAAAGCGCTCTCACAGAACTCACTGCGACAGTCCAACCCAAAAACTTTTATTGCATCTGGTGACAAGTACTGTCATGGGCCATGTTTCACAATTTCATGATGGTTTTGTAGACCATGATAATGGCTGTCTAGGTTAGAATAAGCCTCCAGAACTCCAGCTGGGTACTTTATCCGGTACCTTACAGTTACCGTAAAAAATGAAAACAAAGAAAAAGGCTGCTCAAACTGAAAAGATTATAAACTGAAACCTCTTCAAATGCAAACCAAGGTTTTCAGATCTTCTTGATGGTGCTGCCTATACTACTCTAGGGTCATCACATCAGATTAGGGGGCTCTCTTCATATATTGAACTTTCCTTCTATGAAAGTAACATGTTTCAGAATGTTGAGAAAAAAAATCCAAATCTCCAAATGCACTATCTGCTTTAATGTGCTCTGAAATTACACATAGTATTTACTGTTGTTCAGTGCAAACTGATAACAAAAAAAAATATTAAAAAAAAATTTAAAAGCTGTATTTTTTAAAAAAAGCATTTTGGCAAGAAAGTAAGCCAGCAGTGAAATATCACCCAGCCCTCCACTTCATGCCATTTCAGAGAATTATAGATCGACAATAGAAAAACATAAAGATATCCTTTATCCACTGAGATTAACCAGAAACATGAACAACATCACTGAGAGAAAATTTGAATTCATAGATACATTAAAGAAGCACAAAGGTATCCAGATTTTTTATGACATACACTTTAAAACAGAAATTTTAGAAGAAACTGAGAAACTCAAATTGTTACATGTTGCAATGCAAAGAGGTTTTAGTTATTATTTTTCATTCAATCTATGGTTGAGTATTTTTTGTATTTTTGTGAATGTAACCCAAATAGCAACCAATAATTATTTGGAGTATCACTACAGACTGTGTAAATAGCTAACTGTTCTCTCCTTTGGTAAAGTCTCTGGTTTTGCTTGGAAGCAAAAAGAACAATGTCCCAATGTTTTCTGCTTCCAAGTGAAAAGCCAGATGATCCCTTTCTTTCTAAAGGAAAAAATCCCTGAGGGGAGAAAGAAAAAAAAAAATTGCTATTACAATATGTCTCATTGACTGTGTAGAAAAAAAAAGAACTCACAGCATTCTACGGAGGACAATAATGAAGGAAATAAACAACCAAAATGCTTGCTTTAGGAATAGTGGGAAATTACTCTCACCCCTGAGTCCAAGGGCGTGTTATATTTTATTTTCAGTGCCTTCTCAGCAATAACAGCTTCCTTGATGCCAGAGATACTGACATTCCCCACTGCTGATCACGATCCAGCCATTCCCTGCTTGTCTGCCCTTATGACCATCTCTCTTGTAATGTTATTAGGAACATGGCTATTCATTATCATTTCAAATATCTGCAGCACACTGCATGTCTTCCAAGTTTGAGGGCAATAAGGAATGAACTTGGTGCCATTTGTGGAGGGATCATACAAAGGAAAAAACTGACAGATTGCAGTCTTCTTTTGCATCGTTTCTTCCCCCCAGTTCAGTAACACATTCAAAGCTATTTCAGAAATGTCAGCACATCACAGAACTTAGGAGCTAGCTCAGCCAGACACTATTGCTAGCTACCATGGAGCTCCTGATAAGGCTATTGCGGTGAGCTGCACAGTGACGAAACACCTTTGAGAAGATTGCATCACTGCCAGCAAAATACACTCCACTCCACCAAAACCCTAACAAACATCTTTGCTGGACCTGCAACAGGGGATCTTCTCGGTGCAGCTGTCTCAGCCAGGGATAGCATCTTTTCTCCACAACTCCAACCCACTCTGCTGGTGAAGCACACAGTGCAGAACTAGCCTTGAGAATCCTGCTGCAGTGGTCTGCAAGTGGCACCTAACCAAGTACCTAACTGAAGATCAGCAAACAGCTCTCCCAAAGAGCTGTGAGCATCATCCCGGCTGATGTGGAGGGAAATACAGCACCTCCAGAAACATGGTTCACTGTCTGAATTTCATCATTTATCTTGGAAAATTTCTATGGTCATCTAAGCCTAGCAACTGCATTTTGAACAGGAACTTCATCATCAGTTAATACCCCTGAATTAAGGTGATGTTTAGTAAGACTGTTTTCAACTTGTCTGATGTCAAAAATGCCCAGATCTGTTTATGGATATAAAAGTAATACTGGTAGATTTATTCAAAGAATACTCTACAAGGTCAGATAAATCACCTAGCTCAGTATGCACTCCAGTGGTGGTAAATTCCTAGAGGAAGACAATAAAATTAATGTAAATATAGACTGCTACATGTATCAGAAGCACAAATTTGGGGTCAGAAAAAAAAGATAAGAAAACTCATACAGACAACTGCACTTCAAAACTTGTTATTTTGAAATGCTGTTAACTATTGTGACAGTTTAGTCTCTAGATGTCATGAGACACCATGATGAGTAGTGCTGTGAGTCATTCAGATAGTCTATTTTTTTCCTCCTTAGTATATCCTGTTGCACACTGAAGACATACTTATGATGATAAAATTACTTTTTAATTTCCTTTTACACACCTATTCACATTTTATGTGAACTACATATGGCTATGATCCCATATAAAAGGTTTCTAGAGACTGAACAGCTAATTATGCAATGCCTTCACTCACAATTTCCTTAATGTTGAATTTTTAAGTTTAACAGTATTTCTGAATATTGTTTATCTCCTCTCAGCTTCAGAATTTCTGGTTCTCAACACATATGTAAGATCACATGTTCATATAACTGAAGTGGTCACTACCGATGACAAATCAAGATGTGCCAAGAGCTATCTCACACTTACCAGAGTTGTTTCCTATGTGAAACTGCAGTGAAAACCAACATTTCTTATACTGCTGGTCTGTTACGGTTAGCAAACTTTTAATTTATTTTTCAACTGGTCCACACATGCATGCACTCACATAGATAGTATTATTATTTATTATTAATAGAAACAGTATTACAATATTAATAACAGCTTTTGTAATATTAATAGTATTAGCTATGACCAGCTAGACAATATTGATCATCAATTATGCCCCTTACCAGGGGGCAAAAACAGAAGTCTGGTAAGAACCAGTATTCAAAGCAGTGTTAATGAAGCTAACAGGGGCTTGAGACTTAAATAAAGTTCTCTGTTTTCAGTTGCTCTTCAGGTCATTTTAGAGCTATACCTTCCTTCTATTCCAAATCTATAGGCTTTTTTCCAAATTTCACGGCTAGAGTGGCAATCTCTCATGAGTGTTCTTCCCAGAAGACTTGGGCACCGATTCCCATTTCATGTCATTTCATGACATTGTGTCTAATTCTGGCTTTGAAAACAAACTCTGTAGGACCCACAAACATACTTATTTCACTGACTTTTCAGTCATGACAAAGACTTTAAAAAGAACTTTGAAAATTCCCTAGTGAAACACCCACAGTTAGCTCAGAACTTTTCTAGCAACTTGGATGAGTTGCAGTGTTAGATTTATGATGTTATTCATGACATTTTGAACTGCAAGCAGGAAGATTTTCAACTATTTCCATACTTACTATATTTTTTAAAAATTTAGATTTTATAATCTTGCAGTGCTGTAAAGAGGCACTAAAGAAATGTGTTCTCACAGAGACCACTGTACTGAATTTTGTTTCAAAGTAGGTAGGTTAGACAGCAGATTTCTGCTGTAATCAAGTTCTAGAGACCCTTGTAAAAGAATATACAGAAATATTCTAGCCTTCTAAAATAACTATTTTTTTCCATAATAAACAAAATTATTTTTGTCACATACTAGTATCTGCTTATGGACTGCTTGAATAGCCTTGCAGTACCTCATCTCATCGAAAACCTACCTTACTTCTGTGCTCCCAGGCTCCAATTCCTGCTTCAACAAGCGAACATCTCCTAGACATTGAACATTTCTAAGTTTTACCTTTTAGTCAGCTATCAGGCTTGAGTGTCTCAACCAATGTGAGAAAAACAGTCCCTGAGCAGTACATTCACAAGCACAAATTCACAGTCTTCAATCCATAGATGTACAGAAAGTTCTGACATGCACTACTGCTGGGTAAGGAGAAAGTATTTGATGACTGTGCCTGAAATGGAAAACAATGAACTTCTCTAGCACTCAACAATTTTGTCGCCACTGTTTCAGTTAGCTAACAAGTGGTTTATTTCTCAACACTTGTTGAGCGAACCCATATTGGGCAACCGCTGCAGAAAACAGAAAACCGGCTTGAATTAGTTCTTTTGCTATTTGCTATGAGCACCTAGATCTACTGATCTGAGAACCCAAGAGCTCTGGAAGGAAAAATAATTGATTTCTGATACAAATGAACAAGACATTATTTCTCTTGCTGCTCTGGCTGCTGAATTATGGGGCAGATGAGGATCTCCCCCTGTTTCTTCCCTGGGAGCACAAGGGTAAATGGCAGCTAAGTGGTTACTGAGCTCTAAACCTGCCAGATAGACAGTCCATGCAAGAATAATTAATGCCTCAGAAAACACCCTACAGAAGCAGAAGTAAACAGTGTTGCCCTTAATGAGAGGGACACATGCTAAATATATTATCAGTTATATTTTCATGTTATTTAAGTTCCAGTGGCATTTCTCATGGTTTAAACAGAGCCTTAAAGTTAGCATTTTCCTCTTTATGGGTTTATCTACCTGAAGCGAAAGCAGCTGCCTGAGTTCTAGCAGAACTATAGAAGATATGCACCCACTGGCATAACCAGACCCATGGGAGAAGGTCTGACTGCTCCTTCCACAGTTCATCAAGCACGTCACTGCAAACAGCACCAGAAATGCCTCCTAGGCCATCTCTAAGGGAAACAGGAAAATGCTAGGGAAGTATTTCTATTTAAAGTTGTAGAAATGCTTACTGAAGATCAAAAAGAGACGAGGGTCTCTTTATAATAGAGACTGAAAATGTCAAGTCTGCTAAAAAATTACATACCCTCACTCCAAAGCCCATCACTTTTGTTATGAAATGTTAGCTAAGGGATTTATTTCTTTGAATAAAAATTACCTTCCTTTTTTTTCCCCAAAGAGAAGCACTTTGACCACACAGAAATGAACATGTGCAAGAACTGGAAAAGCTGCAAGCTTTAATACATGATCAACCTCATGACTTGGATGATATAACATTGATTTGGTAAGATGTTAACACAAAAAGTAATTTTTAGAAAAAACAGGTTATTAAAAGAAAGGGTTGCTGCTTTGTTTCAGATTACATATTCACCTGCCCCTATGTCTAACAAGTAGGAAAATAAACTAGCAAAGTCACAGGGCAATGAAAAGGAGAGATGGTACTGTAATGTTGTGCTGGTAATCTACGGCAGTGACTGTGTTCACTAAATCAATGGAACTTCTCTTGTGCTATAGGAGGAATTATTCAGAAAGGAAAAACCTGTGCTAAGGGGAATCTTTGGTTCCACAAACTTTTGTAAAATTTTGTTGTTGTTACAAATGTAACAACATTTTTTAGAAATTTATAACAGTTTTTTGTTACAAATGTCAACAAAAGCAACCAGTAAATGACCTCTAGATGGGTTCCCAAGAAATAGGGATATTACAAGGCTGAAAATGTGAAAATGCACGGTGACTTAGGTGAGAGTAACTGAAATAGCAAAAATTCAAGGATTGGGGGAAGAAAGAGATTTCAGGAAACGAGCTGTCAGTACACTCAAAGTACTCATAGGTAAGACCTGATAGGAATTAACTCTACTGGAAGTAAAAATTTAGAGCAGTTATCAGTTCCAGACAATTAAAACTGAAACATAGAAACATATGAAGTTTGCACCTACATTAGCAATTAGTGTGGCACAATTACGGCGAATTGGTAAAGTGAAAGAATTGGTACTAAAGAAGAAAATCCACCCCGCACTCATTCCTGTGGTTCTACTTTGCACTAGCTTTAAAAAAAGTCAAAGGCAGCTAAATGCTGAAGGAGACTATGTAGGTAGGTGATGAAATTTCTCTCAGGAAATAAATATAGTTCTAAGTGATCCTTCCTTGGTCATGACCTTTAGGCTTCATTTCCATCATTATATAAATACTTCTCAGTGAAAACATTGATTTTTTTTCCAAATGAGGATTTGCCAAAAGAAAAACTTCTTCCTTAGAAGATTTTGACTGGCTCTAATCCTCACAAGATGATGGCTGTTAATCACCATCATAAATGACACATTTTCACTCAGAAAACAAAAGATCATGAGGTTGAGCAAACGCAGACAGAAGCAGACATAAAATGGTGTTACCAAGGTAAAAGCAATTCCGTCTGTTGCTTCACTGAAAAACAAAGCACCACTGCCGCCCCTGGGGAAAACTGGCAGTTATGGATGCCAACAGTCGTTACCATCGGCAGTTTGTTTGTATTTTTACCACCTTGGTAAGTCAGGTGGCCAGGCTTTGGCACCAGGGCTGCAGGGGCTCTGTGAGCAGGTCAGAGTCTGCCCTGGGCCCATCACAACTGGTTCCCGCTGCGTCCAATGGGCACCCCTGCAGGGCACCACCAAGCCCCTTGGCCGTGTACAAGGCACCTCCGCCTCCAAGAAAACATTCTTAAGAAAGGGCAGAAAAACACCTGGTAGGTGATGGCAGTGAGGAAAGAACAAACACAAAACAGAAGCAGCACTGCAAACACCAAGGGCAGAGGAGGAGACGGGGAGGAGGCGCTCCAGGCGCTGGCGCAGAGACCCCTGCATCCCGTGAGAGAAGCCATGGCAGAGCAAGTGTCCAGACTGCAGCCCTCCAAGCAGGTGGATATTTTCTGAGGGATGTTTCCTGTGGAGAGCCCATGCTGCTGCCGGGAACAGCGTGAGGAGGAAGGAGCAGCAGAGAGAAGCTGTTACAGACTGACTGCAGCCCCCGTCCCCTACCCATTCTTCCTTGCTTGGTGGTCAGTGGAGTTGGGTGTGAAGGAGGGAAGTTGAGCCTGTGAAAACTGGGGGCTTGGGTGTGTGAGAGGAAAGTGCTTTTTTCATGTTTTTGTCTTTGTTTCTTACTGCCCAACTCACTGTCAACTGACAATAAATGAAATTACTTTTCCCCAAGTGGAGTCTGTTTTGCTCATGAGAGTTAGTGGTGCATGATCTCCCTGTCTTCATCTTGACCCCATGAGCTTTTCTAACCTGTTTTCTCCCCCTGTTCTGTTGAGAAGTGGGAGGGTGAAGCGACTTGGTGGACCAAGGTTAACCTGCCACAGTCACTTAGTAATGCTTATCAGTTACAAAACAAAGTTCAATGAATTTTTCTTGTATTGAGTCTTTCTGATGTTCCCTTTAGAATCAAACCTAGTATCTGATTAAAAGAGAATGACCCATGCTTTTGCTATAGTTTCCCATATTTAGTTAAGTGGAAATCTAACCTTGGAGACACCTGCTTAGAACAGGAATGATTATGTTATGTGTATCATGCTGGACAGGGCTCTCTCACTGTGAATGAGCTACCTTTTAGGCCATACTCTCATTGGAGATTCATTCAGAGGAACTGTGTAGTAACACTGGTGGCAAACAGCAATACCACAGAAAAAAGCACTCACAGAAATTTCCCATTGTTTCTTGACCCAATGAGGATACGGTGTTCTGACTCTTCCCGTGAGATCCTCCCGTGGAACCACGGCATCTTCTCATGGGCTGTAGTGGCAATCAACTTCTCCAGCTGAGGCTTTTGACTAATGATAGCTTGTTCAAGAGCATGCCCCTAGAGAGTGGTAAAAACACAGTGGGAGAGTCAAACTGCCTTCTGCAAGAAAAACATGACAGGTAGACTCCCATATTGGATTGCTTTGAGACATCCAAAATCTGCACGTATTTGTTGTATGTGAGGAAAAGATCTGGTTGCTATAAAGATATTAAACCAGAAACTAACATATGGTAATCTAAACATCACAAAGTTCTTCCTTTACCTCTGAGAAGCAGAAGGAAAAATAACCAGTAAATTAAGCCCTTTGTGATATATCAGTATTTCAACTGAAAATTACATATTTTTATGCTGAGCCATAGCTAAATATACTCATTGCCACTCTGAGATGTCATAACATTCCTCCATATTACATATCCTACAGCAGTTTACTGAAATAAACTGAACATGCTTTGCATTGTTGCAGCATGTCTATGCTGAAGACATCAATGCAAAATTCCCCAAAGCAGACAGGACAGTCCCAATTTTAGAGTGAACTATATTAATATTTTAAGTATAACCTAGACACTTCTAAACCTATCTACAACCTATCACTTCTAAATCTGGCCCAGAATTTGAGGGAAAAAAACCCTAGTTCCATCCATTTTCAACTTTGATTCATCAACTTCCTTCTAGGTTGGGCTCAGACTCATCAGAAAAAACTGTAAGCCTCAGCACTTGTAGTATATGTAGTGTAAGTTCAGGCTTTTCCAATTTGGGCATTGTTCCACAGATTTTACACAGCAGAACACATAGGGTTACTTGCAAGTACCAAAGGAGATTAAAAACCTAGCGTAACTCCATGAGCACATAATGGTAACTCATTGCATCCCAAGGTGAAGTAATATTCCTGTTGCAGTCTCCCACACTAGTGTTAAGAATTGATTCTTCACTAAGGATTCTAAGGAAAAAATCCAGCCTGTCTTCCTCAGCATGGAACACTGCATTGTAAGTATCAAAGATGTATAGGCAGTGCTCTGCAGTTGAGAAACAAAGTTCTGTTTTGGACATAATCTAAATAAGCATCACAGAAAAAAGGCCAAGTATGAAGGGAGGATGTAAAACAAGTCACCGTGTCGCCATGTCTGCTAGCACATTAATCCATAAAAATTCAGAATCAAAAGCAATAAAACAAACCATTTCTGTATCTTGTTCACTATCTTGTTCTTGTATCATCTAGTATTTTTTGGTGCATGTGGAAATTGGATGACACAGGTTACTGCAGTGGCAGATAAGCCTATGCTAGCCCAAGGTACCATAAAAATCCTAAATTCTGTAAAATTTCAGGAAAACTACACTTATGGCCAAGTTACTGAATGTATGGGGGGGGGGGGGGGGAAGGGGGAAGGGAAACCCTACTGTTCAAAGCTCAAACAGCTATGATTCCACTGTGAAAAAATACTAAATAGCAGCAGCCACAACTGGAAACAAACACTGCAATCTCTTGTTCTCCTGAATCAAAGGCCACTTTATGGCAGAATCAGCCTGGATTTACCTGCAAATTCCAAGTTTGTTTAACATACTCTCTGATGAGGTTCTCTTTTAAATCTTCAAAGGGTCCTGTTTTGGGTTCAACGCCTGGTGGTCGGTTGAAAGGTTTTCTCAGTAGGCAGACAAGGCCATCTGCTTCCTCTGAGTGATAGTTAATGAGTTCAGCAGGACTGGCATGCGACTTGCCTCCTGCAATAGCATATGAGCCACTCAGCTCCCTCTCAATTGTATAATGATGAGCCTTCCTTCCATGGGCCAAGGATAAGGCAAAGCCCCCCAGGTAATTCCGGCTTTGCCGGAGCAAGTATAGTCCATCACTCATTCCTCCTTGCATCAGATACACCTCAGCTTCTTCACGTGTAATATTGCCAAAGAAGTATGGCAAATGGTTGGCAGGGTTCGCTGTGTTGGAAGCCATGCTTTGTCTTTCCCAAGTAGGAAACTTAGTATTCTGTATCTGAAAAACAAGGACAGAGACATGACTATCAGCTGAAAAAAAAAATTATAAATCAGTAACATGGCAGTTCACATCTGGTATTTTGGTAATACATTTTTAAAAAGATTTTGGGATGAAGATCACATTTTTATTTTTAACTTGTTAGAAGTTGTCTAAATCCAAACAGAAAATTTTTCACTGTTACACAGTAATACAAAAGTTTTCTGTAATTGCACAAGTTTCCTTTAGCTCTTTCCCTCTCTGCTCCTTTTGCCTAGCCATATAGAGGTCCTGACATTTTCACTTGACTGTATACCTCTATCCATCCTTCTGTACTGGTCTTCAGGTGCTCCCCAATAAAAGGAAATAACTAGGCAAGAAAGATTCAATTAGAACAGTTTTTCATTCCAGCTTTGTGTCATTATAATTTTGTTTATAAGAATAATTTATGTCAGTATGTGGGCTTAGTATGGACAAAAGTCCTATACTAAAAGAGTTAACACTCCTCTCCATAGAAATTTACCAATGTTTTTTTTTTTTTAATAGGGGGAAAAAAGTGATTGTGTCTTTTTGGACAATTTTCATTTCAAACAGTTTATATTGAAATAATATGAAGGCACGTTACCAACAAAACACAGAATAGATTAAAGTTCAACATCTCTGAAGAATAATAGCAAACATAACATAGACGGCTTAAATTCGTTTAATATAACAATAAAAATAATCTCTTGTATATTTTTATATATCTTATATATATTATTATATGTTAATATCAACACGTTTTTTAAAAATTATGCACAAGTAGTATATAAAAGTCTAGCTACAGGAATACTGTTCTTGTGTCCTGTCTTCTCTGAATTATTCCAGTCTCTAACCTACATTATCAGCAGAGAAATTTATTTTCATTAAACCACATGGCAGATTTACACTGCCTGGACAGTGAAGTACTGTGCTGGAATTACTTTTGTCTCACATTATTGAAGAGGAGATATCAGAATGCAAAAGCTGAATTTGGTTTACTATTCATATTAATGACATTTAAATGACTATCTAATGGATACTGGGAAGAATACCCCAGCTGCCTGCTGATAACATTTAAGTGGATAGGAAGTGCATATACTGACATCAATGAGACCTGTATTCTTGCAAGAGTACTTGCAAGCTCTTTTTTTGTCAGATGAAGCAGTCCACAACTGGAATTACTTATGTAATTGCAGGGTCACCAGTTGAGTCATTAATTGTTTCCTACAATGTTATGAGTTTTTCATATTCTTTCTTCTCCAAATGCTCCCCAATCCAATCACTGTTTAATCAGGACTGGTCACAGACTGTTACATCTACAGTTTATGAGGCGTAAGAAGAAAGGAACTCCATTTAGGAACAGTTCAACATTTTCTTTCAGTCTAGAAAGAAAAGAAAAATCCCACTAAGTACTACTGTCTGTGCATCTGTAAAATGACTTCAAGATCTGGAAAATTTATTTCAGAGAACACATGAAATGTTGAATAAAACTAGCAGTATGTGCTTATGGTTGTATTATTTGTGTGTGCCAGATTAAACTTTTCTTTAGGAAATATCTCACAAGTTCATTGCTAAATTTTTTTTCCTTGTCTTTTAAGTTCAGTTGTGATGACCTGATAATAAAATACTCTCAAGTATACAATATAGGTGACAGCTTCTGCTATCTGTAGTGTATTATTCAGACTCAGGCTAACTAGGCAACACTACAAGTATATTATCAGAGGAAAAACATTGCTGTTTTCTTTGTATTTACAGTATCACTGCACATCTTGTATTCTTTTTTCCCAATGTAGATATACTAAATAAAATGTATATATACTGAATGTGAAACCTGTGAACATTAACCTACAAAATACCGTTATCTGAGTATTATTCAGGTTATTGCAGCTCTCTTTTCCCACCTCCCATCGCCTTGGCTAGAAGCAGACTAAAAGATCAGAAATTCAGTTCCTGCTTCAATTGCTGTGCAGGATATAGCAGTAAAAACAGTGTGCCCTTCACCATTAAACAGGGAATGATCTTAGGGAAGCCATGTGGCAGTCTGCGGAATCAGCACTAAATAATTCAGGAAGTATGTGAATGGGGTTTATAGACTTCTCAGCTTGCAGCTGGCAGAAGTGAGAAACTGAGTTACATGAGCACAGGTGAAGAGGAGTTTGTGGAAGATCATGTAAGAAGGGAGGGTCCATAGTGCAAAGCTGCAGCTGAGGAATGCATGTCTCAAAGAGGGCCTTTTGGCACATGGTGCTTTGAGGCTGACACCTTCCCTGGCAGCTCTGCAGCAGGCAGAGGTGTGGTGTGCCTACTGCTCAGTTCAGATATGGCCCATCAGTGGATCATAGCTCATCTGCTGTCTTTTCCGCCTGGGTTCAGAAACAGCAGAGCAGTACCTCTGCTGCTCTGTGAATATGTGAAGAAGGGGGTGAGGGGACAAGGTGGCGTGTGGGGACGGAGAAACACACAAATCAGATAAACAAGGCTCACCCAGTATAGAAAACTAGACAGGACACAGTCAGGAAAAATCACATGTTGTGCAGATCTTCTGGTCTTCTTCCACCTTCCCAAAGAAGGGAGACATCAAAGCTGCAGAGCTACTGCAGGCCTACAAAACAGAGCTGTGTGCAGCATGTTATTTATTACTCTTGTGGTTTGCAGCCAAAGGTTACTGGTTTAAGATCACATACTAATCTAATGATATAGCTCTTGTTTATTAATTGCAAAATAAAGGTGTAACAGAAGAGACAGAAGAAAGCAGTCCTCAGTAAGTCACCATCAAACATTGATTCTGCATAAAGTACTATGCAAAATGATAATTTCAGCTGCGCTAGATGAAGACAAAGACAGCTTTCCTTAAACAGAATTGTTTCAGTAACATAATGCAGAGCCAGAGGATTGTAATCAATAGTACAAGGTCCAGTTGGAGGGCAGTTAATAGTGCTGTAACCCAGGGTCTGTATTGGGGCCAATACTCTGTAAGATCTTCATTAAGGAGGTAGACAATGAGGAGAGTGAACCCTCAGCAAGTTCAGAGATAATACAAAATAGTGTATTATCCTAGTGGCTGAAACACCATAGGGTTGTGATGCCTTTCAGAGACCTAGAAAGGCTGAAGAATTGGGCTGAGAGGAACTTAATGAAGTTCAACAAAGGGAAACATCCTGTGAGCGATCTTTCCCCCTTGGGGGCATCTGCCTTCATTGCTGGGCAGCCGTCAGGGGCAGCCCCTGGCACCCCTGTAACGCTACCAGGGAATGGCTGTGACAGCCCCAAACCTCGCTGCTTTTCAGCAGCCACAGCCCCTGTGCCTGGGCCCCTGTGGGCGCACAGGCGAGGCGTGCGGGCTCCAGCAGGCCCTTCGGCTTGCTCCACCGGCTTTGGCGTGGGGGAGAGCAGCAGGTCTGGGCGCTGTGCAGAGGCAGCCCCTTCCAGTGCCCTCCCTCCTCTGCCCGGCTGCGCGGCGCTGCGGGGCCCGTCGGTGCCTGTACCTGGCCAGTGGGCACGACACGGTGCCAGGGACGCCGGCAGCGGTGAAGGCTCCCGGCAAGTTCCTCCGTCTTCCCTGACCGCCTCCTGCAGGTACCCTGCGCTAACCTGATGGTGTTTGGGGAAGAGCGCGGGGGGCTTGAGGGTCTCGGGCGTGCCAGCTCTTCCCCCAGGGCCCCCCGAGAGTTCGCCAGAGCCCGCCTCGGGCGTCTCGCCCCAGCCAGCTCGAGCGCTGGGGAGGTTGCGGAGGAGATCGGGGCTTCCCCTCCCGCTCTCCCTCCCTCCCTCCCTCCCTGCAGCCCACGTCCGCGGGGGCGCAGAGGCAAGGGCACATCTCGTCCCCACGTCTCTCTGCCCTGCCCCAGCTCCTGCCGAGCCCCAGCTGGAGCCTCTCCCCGCCAGAGCCACCCGTGCTCCGCCTGCCCAGGGCCCTTTGCCCAAGCCTGCCTTCCCCCCGTGCCTGGGCAGGAGGTTTCCCCGGCACCTCTCCGTCCGGCGCGGGCAGCCTGCCTGGGGGAGCCCACGCGGGAAGGCAGGGGTGCAGGACAGCCCCTGGGGCTGGCTGGCCGGCTGGCCCACGGGGCTGCGGCTGCTGCTTTCCAGCTGGCAAGGAGAGCCCTCGGGAGGCCCTTGCCTCCCTCTCCCACAGCCTTCTGGGGCTTGCTTGGCTTTTGCCCTCCTAGCACCAGACAAGCTCCAGCACTTTGCACGTCTCTCTCGGCAGGACAGGCCGTCGGGCGCCGAGGAAGCCATGGCGGGGAGCGGCTCTGCTGCAAGGGACGGCAGCACCAGCCAGCCGCCCCAGACAGGGCTGCTGCCAGCCTCTTCCAAGTGTGATAGGATGAGAAAATGGCCTCAAGTTGCACCCGGGGAGGCTTGGGTTGGATATCAGTAAAAATTTCTTCACCTAAAATGTTATTAAACACTAGAACAGGCTGCCCAGGGAAGTGGTTGAGTCACCATCCCTGGAGGTATTTAAGACCTGTAGACGTGGCAGTTAAGGACATGGTTTAGTGGTGGACCTGGTAGCATTAGATTTACGGTTGGACTCAATGATCTTAAGGGTATTTTTCAACCTAAATGCTTCTATGATTCTTTGATTCTCTTAATCTGAAAGTCACTACAAATATGGAGGCTTTGAATGTTATACTCCCTGTTTCCTTCATTCCTACTTACCTGTTTCCCTCAGACACCCCCATGTCGCTATGTCATTCTTTTTCACTCCATTCTGCACCACAGATACTGCTGGCTAGGAGATTAACATACATCATCTACCTCTGGTAAAGTGCTCCTTGAAGGCAGGCTCCAAGTCTGCAATCTCACTTTCAGGAAGAGTGGAAGAAAACAGATTTGCTGCTAGGTTTTCAGTAAGGAAATAGCTTAAATCATTTTCCACCAGAATTAAAGTAAAAGAACATTTGCTATAATTTCTATTCTGCATGAATCTTTGTGGTCTGCAACAGCAGAGGCAGATGGGACACAGAGGGCACAGCTGTCAGGTGTCAGTACTGAGACTGCAGAAGGTTTCCATTGGCATATTGGTAGGGAGATTAGCCTGGACACAGACACACTGGATGCATGGATGGATGAATGATCCACACTGGTGCTTCACCAGCACTGTACAGATAATTTGGAGAAAAGGTCAAAATAATTCCATACAATTGTCATGACAGGAATGGTACTGCACTGCAGTACCTGTTCAAAACACCTCAGTAATGCTGTAGTGAACAAAATTCAAACAGAAGAATGCCACTACACTCTTAATCTGTGGGAATTTATATTCATGGAAGTATTTCATGGAAGTCCCTTTCCTCTGTATCTTTACTTTCAGGCTGAAAAAAACGTTAGGACCTTCGTGTCTAAAACGGATGAAGAAGTTTAGAATTAAATTATGAGTTAATAACAGTGGGGTGGGGATAGGGTGTGAAGGGAGAGGAAACTTGCATTCCCTGCCTACAAAAGATACTGTTGCAATGGTTACTGAAATTAAAATTAATTTGACTTTGATGTGTTTCAGATCCGGTTACTCCTCAGAGTACTGCTTAGTCTCAGATTGGTCTCAGCATTTACTATACGATCTCCAGGATGAGTTGCCCAGACACAAGTTTTCTTTGGTGGTCTGATTTTTGTGTAATATGTAATGCCAAGTTTTTCCACTGCTGACAATTCAGCATTGTTTATGCATATTAAAATAAATGTTGAAAAAACTCAAATCTATTCATTAAGAAGTCACAGCACACACACAAAACAGAAGAGATAGGTATGCACAGAAATAGGACCAACAGCCTCTGAGTGAAATTTCTCTAGTCTTTCAAAAAGATGTTCCAAACCACTCTCCAAAGGGGGAGCATGTACAGGCATACCAAGTTAAATGGAACTATTCCTCTCACATAGAGAAAGCATAGATGGTGGTACATCAGGACATTCATTGGAATTTAAATGTTGACCTAGAAATCTGGCTAAATGCTCAAAAAACTAGACAGTGCTGAGCTTCATGCTGCTGTTCTCGCAGTGATGTTACCAAACTATTAGATTTGAAAAAAGTTCCAGTATAACTACAAAAGGTGTAGCCACTCCTTTGGGATCAACTGTGGATGGATGGCAGTAAGGTTGCAGCTGGAATCTGCCCAGTCAGAACTGAGATACTGCATGCTCCTGGAGGCTCGTCACCTGCATGCTCATCATTCTGACTGAGGGAGTGGAACTGGTCCTTATTACTTCTTGCTGGAGGTTGAATTGATGTTGGCCTGGACTGTCATATTATCTACTGGCTGCAGTGCTACACACAGTTCTTCAATTTTGTTTAAAGCCCATTTTGATACTTTTTATGAAAGTAACCTGTTAACCTGAACAGTCAGGTTCAACTCTGCAGGTGAAAGGGTATTAGTTTTGACAAATTCAGTCTTTATACAATCCTTTCTAGTAGATGAATTATGTGTATTATGTCTATATTCTATAGTTAGCATTGTTAATGCAATTAGAGTTTATGCATTTGAGTCAGAACTTCACTCAGCTAAAATGAGGCACTCAGAAATGCCACTGTTGTACACAGGTATAGCACTGCTGAAATACACAATTTTAACTGCTGCTAAAGATCTGTCTTTTAAGGGCTGTTTGCTTTGTATTGAATGACCTAGTTTTATTTTTTTTAAAAGTTGTACTTGAATATGGCAAAGGAATAAAAGGTTTTTAAAAAAGGGGGTTTAATTAAAATTCCCCAAAGATATTGGCTGCTGGAGAAGCCATTGAGATTAATTCTGTATAGTTATTTAAAGACATAGACTGGGTTCTCTCCTCCTCTTCATACTCTGATGTAAAAACAAACTCCTTAATCCTGAAAAAGTATCAGCTGTGTTGGCAAATGTGCAAAGTACAGTGAGTAACACAGTACCATGTCAACATATGGGTAGAGACGTTGGGCAAGCAGTTCAACCATTCTTCACTGATCAGTTACACTGCTCCATAGGACCCAATTTTTAGAAGCAAATGCTCTCTAGAAGCTTGCAATAAAGGAAAAAAAAAATCCCTTTCAATCCTCTTTTCCTTTTCATCTCTAACACCAACTAGTGAAAAGCGTGCAAAGCTCTCCTTGAAACAACAAACTGCTCTGCAAACAAGGCCTAGTTTCCTACGAATTCATGCACTACAGCTTTCAAGCAATAAGCCAGGCTCCTCCTATTAGACTCACACTTGCTCCATCTTCCAAATTTCTCACAAGCACCTACTCAAGTACCCTCAGCTTCCTCCTCATCTACTAACTACTGGGTAGCAGAGGAATACATGCTGCTGCTATGCATTTACTGTTTGCAGGCTTACTAAAATGGGCACATGTTGAGCTCATGCTTTCATGCAATGGAGGTACCGTGTTGGCTTATTCTCCTCTGGGCACATTTATTTATTCCCATAAATGACTGATCAGATTATCCATGAGACCGTCTCCTCTGAGAAATTGGGCCATAAGTAAAAAGCTATCAGGAGAGCCTGACAGGATGGTGACTGCATCAGTCAGTTTCTTTAGAAAACTAGGCAAAACCAGTTGAAATGTGATCTAGCAGTCCACAGCAAGTTCGGAATTCTCAAGTACAAGAAATACCACAAAAACTAAAGTAGACTCTGGCCCCCAGTAGGACAA